ACCGGGACAGAATCCGGTGCCCCGACCTTAGCTTAGTTCTACGTATCTATGTGATCTTGGCATTTTAATCATTCCTTTGTACCTATTTATGAAAAAAAGTAGTTGTATTAGGGAGTGACTTTCAAGCTTCTTTGCCAAAGATCCACAGTAAGAAATATATTTTAAATAATAAACTAACGTGGGACCAGTGCCTGTGATGCTGGCATCTCGTATCAGAGTGCTGGTTTGAGTCCTGACTGCTCCATTTCTGATCCAGCTCCCAGCTAATGGCCTGAGAAAGAGTGGAAGATGGCCCAAGTGCTTGGGCCCCTGCTACTCATAAGGGAAATCTGGACGCAGTTCCAGACTCCTGCCTTCAGCCTGGCCTAGCCCTGGCTGTTGTGGCCATTTAGGGAGTGAACCAGCAGACGGAAGATCTCTTTATGTCCCTTTCCTTCTCTATCATTTTACCTTAAAAATAATTCTTAAACACACACACACACACACACACACACTCAAAAACATACACACATTCATAATATGTAAAAATGCCACTAAATACTACTCTTCACTTCTTTTTCTGTCCTATCCCATTTTTAAAAAAGATTTATTTATTGGGGACAGTGGCTGTGACTTTCAAATAAATAAATCTTTAAAAAAGATTCACTTATTTATTTGAAAGTCGGAATTACACAAGAAAGAGAAGGAGAATCAGAGAGAGAGAGAGAGAGAGAGAGGTCTTCCATCTGCTGGTTCACTCCCCAGTTGGCCCCAATGGCTGGAGCTGTGACAATCTGAAGCCAGGAGCCTCCTCCAGGTCTCCCATTTGGGTACAGGGGCCCAAGGACTTGGACCATCTTCCACTGCTTTCCCAGGCCATAGCAGAGAGCTGGATTGGAAGTGGAGCAGCCAGAACTCAAACCAGCACCCATGTGGGATGCTGGCATTGCAAGCGGCGGCTTTACCCGCTACGCCACAGTGCCAGCCCTATTCCTTTTTTTTTTTTTTTTTTTTTACAGGCAGAGTGGACAGTGAGAGAGAGAGAGAGACAGAGAGAAAGGTCTTCCTTTTGCCGTTGGTTCACCCTCCAATGGCCACTGTGGCCGGTCCGCTGCAGCCGGCGCACCTTGCTGATCCGAAGCCAGGAGCCAGGTACTTATCCTGGTCTCCCATGGGGTGCAGGGCCCAAGCACTTGGGCCATCCTCCACTGCACTCCTGGGCCATAGCAGAGAGCTGGCCTGGAAGAGGGGCAACTGGGACAGAATCCAGTGCCCCGACCGACTAGAACCCGGTGTGCTGGCGCCGCAGGTGGAGGATTAGCCTATTGAGCCGCGGCGCCGGCCTAGCCCTATTCCATTTTAAAAAGCTTTTTTTCAATGTCTCCAAATAATTTCATTACTGTAATGGCTTGAAAGGTGGCCTCAAGAAGGTATGCCCATGTGCCAATCTCCAGAATCTGTGACTGTCACTTTTATTGGAAGAACAGTGATTAAGGATCTTCAAAGGAGACGATTATCTGAGTCGGCTCTAAATCTAGTAAGTGTCCCTTTACAAGAGAGAGATTTGAGACAGAAGGGGAAGACACAACATGACCACAGAGGCAGGGGCAACAGTGATGCAGATAAACCAACAAGCACCTACAGCCACTGGAAGCCGCAAACGGGAAAGCACAGATCGTCCTCCACAGTTGTTGCAGGTGTGCAGCTCTGCTGATACACTGACTTTGGACTTCTGGCCTCCAGAACTGCGACAAAACGACTTCTATTGCTTTAAGCTGCCAAATTAGTGATCATTTGTTTTGGCAGCTTCAAGAGAACCAATCCAGTTGTGAAGAGTTAGGCTAATAGCAACACAATAACCTACTAAGATTACGCCTTGCAGTTTCAGACACACTGAACAAGTCTGTGTCCCTATACTGAGATCAACTCCAGTTGGGGGATGCGGAGCAAGGGAGAGGATCCTCAATAATTTCAACTAATTAACTACGTAAAGCAGCAGAGAGAGAGATTCAGAGTGCTCCCACCCACCAGATCACTCCCAAAATGCCCACAAGAGGAGGGACTGGGTCAGGGCCAAAGGTGGGAGCCAGAAACTCAATCCAGGTCTCCCACATAGGTGGCAGGAACCCAACTACTTGAGGTATCGCCACTGCCTTCCAGGTTCTGCCTTGGCAGAAAGCTGGAAGCATGAGCCAGTCCTGAGTCCAATCCAGCAATCTGATGTGGGATGCAGACATCCTACCCTGTGTCTTAACTGCTGGGTCAAACATCTCCCTCTTACACAAGCCTTCAGAGTATAAACAGATCCTGAGACCAACCCCGAGCCCCCTCAAAGAAGAGACTTCCTATACTCTTACTTGCAAGCACCTACAGAAACAACCTTCCCCAAAGAATAGCACATTTGTTGCTTGACCCTTAACAAATATGTTTCTTCAAGGAAGAGAGGGCACGGGGAAGAGAGGATAGTGAGCGCATATGAAATGGAATAGCGTGAAGAAAAGGAGTATTATTAAAAGTTTCGCAGAGTTGCCTCAGGCTTATTCAGCAGTAAACAATCTCTTATCCTATGGGAGTTCTCATAATACAGGATAGAGCTACATTTTTCCTTACTAAAACAAACAGTAGAAGTGTAGTATATTCAGTCCTTTCAAACCACTGTTGGTCAGCAAAATAATGATCATGGTAGCAAACAGCTGTTCAGTTTTTCATCATGTTCCAGGAAGTAATGTATGTATTAACTTATTGAATCTTTGTAGCTGTATTATTTTAAATCAATTTTGGGATTAGTGACATATTTACACGGATCAAAACTCAAGATATAGGATGGATTCGCAGGAAAAAGCCTTCTTTCCATACCTGTCTGCAAGCTACCCTGTTACCCTTTCTTGAGGCAATGAAGATTATCATTTTTCTGTTACACTTATTTTATCCACATAAAACTAATCTATTCACTGATAGCTCCCTTTTAAAACAAATAGTAGCATTCTATGTTTGAGAGGGATATTATCACAGTACTCCACATTTAAAGATGAGAAAAAGACACTCAGAAAGGCTAAGTAATTTAAGACTTAAGATGAAACATAAAATAGAACAAGGATTCAAGCAGCAGTCTATTTCCAGAGCCTATAACCACTAGACTTCACTGTCTACACTCCCACTTCAGCAGTAAAATAACAGAATATTAAAAAAAAGTTGGGGTCGGGGTTGTGGCATAATGGTTAAGCCGCTGCCTGCAGTGCCGGCATCCCATATGGGGGCTAGTTTGCATCCTGGATGCTCCACTCCGATCCAGCTTTCTGCTGTGTCCTGGGAAAGCAGTGGAAGATGGCCCAAGTGCTTGGGCCCTGCACCTGCATGGGAGACCTGGAGGAAGGTCCTGGCTCCTGGATTCAGACCTGTGCAGCTCCAGCCCTTGGGGCCAACTGGGGAGTGAACCAGCAGATGGAAGACCTCTCTCTCTCTCTCTCTCTCTGTGTCTCTCCTCTCTGTGTGTAATTCTGACTTTCAAATAAATAAATACATACTTTTAATAAAGTTAACCAATTCGCTTTTTTTAATGCTCAGATGAAAGAACACTAGCATGTTCAATGTTTGTGATTTGGACACTCACAAGCAGAGGAAGGTTAACCCTAACAAATTAAAACAAGTAACACTCTCACATAAGATATAAATTGAGTTTATTCTCAGTAAACTAACAAATCAAGTCTCAATAGCTTTTAACTTACATTCAAGAGAACAGGATCTTTTGCCCACGGTCATATTACTACTAGCAAAGCCGGTGTATCGAGTCCCACTTCTCAAATGGCCAATTCATTCTCAACACCATTTCCTTAGTTTAGGCCTCCTCAATTCGCTGAATTGCTACACTATGCTCCTAACTGCTCTGCTTGTCTTGAATCTTGTCTTTCTTTTTTAATTCATCCTCTTTGTGGTAAGCTATTTCCAAAGAGACCACTTGTATTGTAGTCTTTTGCTTCAAATTCTTCAGAAGTTTCTTCAAGATCTGTCCTAACTTTCAAATTATCCACATTAATGCTATAAGCTTCAAACTCTTGAGGTTAACCATTCATGATCTTGACCCCGCTCTCTAGTCTGGCATAAATCTTAAGCAACAATGCAGCCACACTCAATCTCTTGAAGAACACCAGTCATTCTGTATCGTAACAGCATCTGTCTTCAAAAATAGTTTTTTCTTGCTCTAAAATGGACTTTGCCAGCTTCTGTGGTCACATCTCTAAAATCTCAGCTCAAGCATCACTTGCGCAGGAAGCCACCTCTTGGACGCCGCACGCACTGCTCCTAACGTGCATGTTTCTCCTCAATGTGCCTATGCTTGTTTCTATTTTAATCCTTACTGTACCGCACATAATGGCTAATTAGCTTGACAGTCTATTAGAAACCTTCCGAAAGCAGGGACGATTTGTTAGTTGTCTTTATTCTATATTTTGAAGGTAAAAAGTCAACGAGTCTGGCTTATGACTGGATGCAGGGAGCAAAGAAAACACAGGAATGAAGTACAATTTTTGGTTCAAACAAGCGGGTCCAAGGGTCGTGCTGTTAAATAAAAGAGGAAAGTTTCAGATACTTATTACAATGAAGAGGCCAAACAGTCAGTCTTAAGTTCAAGGGGGGAGAGTGACAGGCTTTATTAGTGTCACAGGCACAGAGACGGTAAAATCAAAGCTACGGGACTGGTTATGACTTAAGTCTCCTTAGGGAGACTAAGCGTGACAAACACAGGAAAAAGAAGAATGTGATATTTAGAAAAAGTTATTTAAGAAGGACAGGCTCAAACTATGGAAAGTGTCTCAAAATAATAACATGAAAATCACTGGAGACCCAAATGACAATTTTAGCAGAACATAGAAGACAGAAGCCAGACTGGGGTGTGCCACAGAGAGAATGGGATGTCAAAGTTCAGACACCAAGACAACAATTTTAAGTTTTGTTGAGAAGGGAGCACAGATGGGGCTGGGCGCTGTGGCATAGCGGGTTAATGCCCTGGCCTGAAGCACTGGCATCCCATATGGGCGCCGGCTCGAGACTCGGCTAGTTCACTTCCAATCCAGCTCTGTGCTATGGCCTGGAAAAGCAGTAGAAGATGACCCAAGTCCTTGGGTTCCTGCACTTGCGTGGGAGACCCGGAAGAAGCTCCTAGCTCCTGGTTTTGGATTGGCGCAGCTCTGGCCATTGAAGCCAACTGGGAAGTGAACCAGTGGATGGAAAACCTCTCTCTCTCTCTCTCTCTCTCTGCCACTTCTCTCTCTGTGTAACTCTTACTTTCAAATAAATTAGTAAATCTCAAAAAAAAAAAAAGGTAGCAGAGAAAGAGGCAAGGATCAAAGGGAGGGGGTAACTGCAGAAGCAGATCCTTGTGTCACACTTTTTTTTTTTTTTTGGACAGGCAGAGTGGACAGTGAGAGAGAGAGAGACAGAGAGAAAGGTCTTCCTTTGCCGTTGGTTCACCCTCCAATGGCCGCCGAGGCCGGCGGGCTGCGGCCGGCGCACCGCACTGATCCGATGGCAGGAGCCAGATACTTATCCTGGTCTCCCATGGGGTGCAGGGCCCAAGCACTTGGGCCATCCTTCCCTGCACTCCCTGGCCATAGCAGAGAGCTGGCCTGGAAGAGGGGCAACCGGGACAGAACCGGCGCCCCGACTGGGACTGGAACCTGGTGTGCCGGTGCCGCAAGGCGGAGGATTAGCCTAGTGAGCCGCGGCGCCAGCCTGTGTCACACTTGAACAAATGCATTCTACCGAGCAGAATTTTTCATTCTTGAATTTTTCTCAGTTTCATAGGTTTTCAGTATTTATTTGGGAAACGTCTGAACTCTCTTAAGTCCTGGTCCAGAGCTAGCACTGTGGAGTAGCAGACTAAGTCACCGTTTGCCATGTTGGTATCCCACATGGAAGTGCTTGGTTTGAGTCCTGGCTGCTCTGCTGCTTTTTTTTTTTTTTTTTTTTTTAAGATTTATTTAGTTATTTGAAAGGCAGAGTTACAGAGAGAGGGAACCAGAGAGAGAACGAGATCTTCCATCCACTGGTTCACTCCCCAAAGGGTTGCGACTGCCGGAGCTGGGCCAATCTGAAGCCAGGAGCCAGGAGCTTCTTCTGGTTCTCCCATGGGGGTACAGGGGCCCGAGCACTTGGGCCATCCTTTGGTGTTTTCCCAGGCCACTAGCAGGGAGCTGGATTGGAAGTGGAGCAGCTGGGACTCAAACCAGGGCCCATATAGTAGTATGCCAGCACTGCAGCTGCGGCCTTGCCCACTATGCCATGGCATCAGCCCTGCTCTGCTTCTTATCCATCTTCCTGCTAATATGCCTGGGAGGGAGTAAATGATGATTCAAGTACTTGGATCCCTGTGACCCACATGGCACACCTGTATGGAGTTCCTGGCTCCTGGTTTCAACATGGTCCAGCCTGGAGGTTGTGGCCATTTGGGAAGTGAACCAGCAAATAGAACCATTCTTCTCTGTCATTCTGCCTTTCAAATAAATCAATCTTTTAAAAAAATAATAATTAAAATAAAGTTTGGTCCAAGATGTTTATGGTAAAAAGGAAAGGGCAGAATTCGGACTCAAACTCAATCTTCACTAACAGGTCATGTAGCCTTAGGCAAATTATGTCTCAGAACCTCCATTTCTTATGGACACAAACTATTTTACAGGAGTGCTGTCAATTCCAGGAGACACTGCGTGTAAATTACTTGGTAGTGTGTGACTCAGGGTGAACTCAAACAACGTTCAATATTAGCATGACTATCTTCAATGGCAGGCAAATACAATCACATGTATGCCACACACAAATACATGGAAGCACATACACTGGAGAGAATTTATTCAGTCATATTCAAACAGAAACATTCAGATCTGGCAAATGATCTTGAAACCCTATCTAGGAACATAAACTATAGTTTATTTCAGTAAAGTATTATTTAATTGAGAGATGTATAAATACAATGGTAAATAAAACAGGCTAATTCTATTTTCTCACATACAACTCATTATTCACATACTAGCCACTCATTCACTTAAAATTTAAGCCGCAGCTCACTAGGCTAATCCTCCGCCTTGCGGTGCCGGAACACCGGGTTCTAGTCCCGGTCGGGGCGTCGGATTCTGTCCCGGTTGCCCCTCTTCCAGGCCAGCTCTCTGCTGTGTCCAGGGAGTACAGGGAAGGATGGCCCAAGTGCTTGGGCCCTGCACCCCATGGGAGACCAGGAAAGGTACCTGGCTCCTGCCATCGGATCAGTGCAGCGCGCCGGCTGCAGCGGCCATTGGAGGGTGAACCAATGGCAAAGGAAGACCTTTCTCTTTGTCTGTCTCTCTCACTGTCCACTCTGCCTGTCCAAAAAAAAAAAAAATTTTAAATCAGATCAGTAAACTCTTATATCCCCCTTGATGGCTTACCACTGTACTTAAAAAAAAAAATACTAGTTTTATTTGCAGTAGCACCGATCTGTTGAAATATCTATCAACATGGCTAGTAGCTACCATATTAGATCACTATGTGGCTGACTGCCATTTGGTCCCAGAAGCCTTTAAAAAAAAAGATTTATTTAATTTATTTGAAAAGGCAGAGTTACAGGGAGGCAGAGGCAGAGAGAGAGGTCTTCCATGCACTGGTTCAATCCCCAAATGGTCACAACAACTGGGGCTGGGCCAATCCCAAGCCAGGAGCCAGGAGCTTCTTCCAGGTCTCCCATGTGGGTGCAGGGGTCCAAACACTTGGGCCATCTTCTACTGCTTTTCATGGCCATAGCAGAGAGCTGGATTGGAAGTGGAGCAGCTGGGACTGTAACCAGCACCCATATGGGATGCCTGCACTGCAGGTGGCGGCTTTACCCACTACACCACAGTGCTGACCCCCCAGAAGCCTTTTAAAAGCCAATCTAAAGTGGCTCTGCTCTCTTCATATTACTCGATTTTTTTCTTGCCTATCACACTTATCACATTTTATCTTCTTAAATTTGTTTAAAAACAATTTTTATTTATTTGAAAGGCAGACAGACAGTACTCCCCAAATGCTCACAACAGCTGGAGCTGAACCAGATCAAAGCCAGGAGCCCAGAACTCAATCTAAGTCCCCTATATTGGTGGCAGGGATCCAACCACTTGGGCCATCACCTGCTGTCTCCCAGGGTACTCATTAACAGGAAGCTGGAATGGGGAGTTGGTCCATGCCTTGAACCTACACAGTATGATACAGGATGCAGGCATCCAAAGCAGCAACTTAACCAAATATTTGTTCCAAGTTATCTGAAAATATTTTATCTATTATTTGTATTTTATTAAAATGTAAGCACCATGAAAACTGTAACTTTTTATTGAATACTGTTATCATCAGTGACTCAAATTGTGCCTGGCACAAAGTAGGTATTTGATAGCTACTACCAAGTACATAAACATACACTTCTGAAAAATCTTTACATAAACTTTAGGTGGGGGAGTGGGTGTTTGGCCTAGAGATTCTGGGAGACAGTGGTAACTCATCACTGTTTTTCTGCCACCCACAAGGGAGATGTGGATTATATTCCTGGCCCTTGGCTTTGGTCCAGGCCCATCCTCAGCTCTTGCGGACATTTGGGGAGTGAATTCATGGATGGGAGCTCTTTCAAAAAAATAAATAAAATTTAAAAAACTGTAGGGGGGCAAAGTTATCTTCTCTAATGACTACCCACTGGCACGCAGAAAGCCTGCACAATAGACTACTTCCTCTGGGAAGCATGTATTCCCTGGCACCCCTTGTCTAGCCAGGTTGTCTGTCCCATGATTCTTTAGCATTCAGGGCTTTCCCTATCACAGTCCTTAGTATACTGTGACTGAGATGTTTCTATCTCCTACTGAACTTTTTTTTTTTTTTTTTTTTTTTTTTTTGACAGGCAAAGCTAGACAATGAGAGAGAGAGAGACAGAGAGAAAGGTCTTCCTTTACCGTTGGTTCACCCCCTAAATGGCCGCTACTGTGCCGATCTGAAGCCAGGAGCCAGGTGCTTCCTCCTGGTCTCCCATGCGGGTGCAGGGCCCAAGCACTTGGGCCATCCTCCACTGCACTCCCGGGCCACAGCAGAGAGCTGGACTGGAAGAGGAGCAACTGGGACAGGATCCAGCACCCCAACCGGGACTAAAACCCGGGGTGCCGGCACCGCAGGCGGAGGATTAGCTAAGTGAGCCACGGCGCCAGCCTGAACTCTCTTAACTGTAATAAACACATCAACTAACTGAATTTTTTTCACATAATTCATTAACACATGGAAGAGCTGGAAAGTAACTAAGGCTCACGGTCATATGACATAAGCTGATACAGTGGCATTAGCAATACTTCTCACTGGTATGAGGCACTGTCTGAGGCTCCCAGGGAAACATAGGGGAAATGATCCAGAGGATCCAGGATGGGTTGGGGTCGCTCTGGACAAGCTCCATTTGGAAGGTCCAGTCCCTCCCCCACCCTGGAATGACACCACAATGCAGCCACCTCTGACATAGCTTGTAACTCTGCTTGCCACATAATGAGTATTCAGACATCTCCTAGCAGGGCCCAAGAGAATACTGTCCTCAGTTTAACATGTGCCTATCTGCAGTCACTGCTTCTACCACCACCACCAGCACACTTGCTTCCAGTAAGCTGTTAAAGCATGATGGATTACTATGAAGTTCTAGGAGTGCAGAGATATGCTTCACCCGAGGACATTAAAAAAGCTTATCATAAAGTGGCACTTAAATGGCACCCTGATAAAAACCCAGAAAATAAAGAAGAAGCAGAGAGAAAATTCAAAGAAGTAGCCGAGGCATATGAGGTATTATCAAATGATGAAAAGCGGGACATTTATGATAAATATGGCAAAGAAGGATTAAATAGTGAAGACAGAAGTCATTTTGATGATGAATGTGAGCACAGTTTCACATTTCATAAGCCAGATGATGTCTTCAAAGAAATATTTGGTAAAAGGGACCCATTTTCATTTCACTTTTTTGAAGATTCATTTGAGGAACTTTTAAAGGTTCCAAGAAGCTCCTATGGAAGCAGAAGCACAGGCGCAGAACCCTTTTTCTCCACCCCCAGTGAATGGCCAGCTTGGGAGAGCTTTTCTTCGTATGATAGAGGATATTCATCATACAGCTCTCTGGGGCAGGAGGGCCCTACTTCATTCTCTTCACTGGCATTTGATGATAATGGGATGGACAACCACATCTGTGTCACAACTTCAGGCCAAATTGCTCATGACAGAAACATGGGTATCAACACAAAACTAATTGAGAGTGATCAAGAAAGAGAAGTTGAAGATTATGGGGAGTTGAACCCCTTCCTTGCAAATGGTGTGGTAGATATAGAGGGCTTCGCAGAACACAGCTGGAGAAGAGCATCATTCAACCATTACTCACCCAACTGCTACTGTCCCACACACATGTGTCAATACACTTTTGTGGACAATGACAAGCAAGGTATACCTTGGGTCACCAGCTACTGGGACCCCTCTGTCTTCTCACCAGGGGTCAAAGAAGGTGGTAAGAAAAAGAAAAAGAAGCACAAAGAGGTGAAGAAGTCGACCAAAAAGAATCACTAAATTGACTCTTTAGACACATTATGTTCATGTGACATTAGAACATGACTTCTGGTGTGCTTTGGTTCATCACAGGGGTCGTGGTTAACATGTAATACTATACTAAGATTCTGTTTTTAACACTTTTAGCAATATTTTGGGCAAGTGGTCAGTAGTGGTTTGGCTGAGGCAAGCCAAAGAAAGATGAGTTTGTGGGGACAGTTGGTGATGTCAAGAATCTGGAAAACTGCAGATATTTTTACGTTTTGGTTTTGAGCTGTCTGCCTATAGAACTTTTCCTTAGTAGAATTTCTGATCTACTTCATTCCTTTCAGCTAATTAAAACTACCATATAAGCTTCTTAAATATGTATAGTATTTAGAAAATAAAAATGCGTTAAAACATATAGGTTCAGACCATATAATTATTCATGAAATGATTTTTTTCCAATTGAGGCAATCTGACACATACACTACAAGTTAAAAATTAGAATATAAATTATTTTCTTCTAGATATATTTGTACAAACACATTCACAGCAGCACTAGTTACTATAGCCAAGAGGAGGAAACCATCCAAATGTCCATCAAGAGATGAATGGATAAACAAAATATGATACACACACATAAACATACACACACACACAGGTACTTTAAAAAGTTCATGGAAAAATGGAATTAAAAGATAAGCTTACTTTGCTGCAAAAGCACTTTGAATTTAATGGATAGGTTTTTCATATGATACATTTTCCATGAATTTTTTGAAGATTACTTATATATACAATGCAATTATCTTCAGCCTGCAAAAAAAAAAAATCCTGTCATATGCTAGAACACAGATGAATCTTGAGGATATATACCAGGTGAAATAAAAGAGTTATTCAGAGACAAATAATATATGATTTACCTAAATATCTAAAGTAGTCAATTCAAAGAAACAGAAAGTAGAATGGCAGTTTCTGGGGGCCTGGGGTGGGAGGGAAAGAGGAAAAGTTTGATGGGAATGGAGTTTCAGATTTATAAGATAAAAAAATTCTGAGCATCTGTTTCACAGATTTGGCTGTATTTAACACCACTGCAAATTTAAAAATGGTTAAGATGGTATATTTTATGTAATGTGTAATTCACAACAATTTTAAAAAGAGCCAGTCTCATCCAGGATTCCTCAGAACTTTCTGGCTACAACATGTGTGGCAGAACATCAGTGAATCTTTTCAGATAGGAAGTTTTCTCCTTTTCTTGTAATTTGTACACAGGATCGACAGACACATTACTTTTTTTTTTTTTATTTTGGACAGGCAGAGTGTACAGTGAGAGAGAGAGAGACAGAGAGAAAGGCCTTCCTTTTCCATTGGTTCACCCACCAATGGCACCATGCTGATCCGAAGCCAGGAGCCTGGTGTTTCTCCTGGTCTCCCATGGGGTGCAGGGCCCAAGCACTTGGGCCATCCTCCACTGCACTCCCTGGCCACAGCAGAGAGCTGGCCTGGAAGAGGAGCAACCGGGACAGTATCTGGTGCCCTGACCGGGACTAGAACCTGGTGTGCCGGCGCCGCAGGCAGAGGATTAGCCTATTGAGCTGCAGCACTGGCTAACAGACACATTACTTTAAAAATACCATTTATAGTCATTTTAGGGTCATGTTTTCATAAAAATAGATGAGTTACAAACACATCAGATTTCAAGCAACTGGTCTGAACTAAATATTTGCATGTATTTGTTCCTTTAAAACAATTTACCATGATTTCAATACAATTACTTCTTAGCTTCCTGTAATGATTTAATTTTCTGTGTAACCTCAATCTCTTATTTTTATTCACTGTCACTCATTCAACCGTATTTATTGAACACCTACTATATTTGTCAGGCAATGTTCTAGGAACCTGAGGTACAGCAGAGGATGAAAGTATCAGATGTCACAGTTTATAAACTTGAAACAGACATGAACAAATACTGAATAAAATATAATCTGTTAGTCATAGGTGCTAAGGGAACAAAAAGTAAAAGGGGATAGAAGTTGTGGGGTGTAGACTGTAATTTTAGCTGAAAGCCAGGGAAAGTGATGGTTTTAACAAGTGATAGAGTCAGCCACGTGGATAATTCCAAGCAGAGGGAATAGCAGGCTGCAAAAGGTATTTTTGAGGAAAACTGAGAATTTCTACTTATTTTGGGAGACAGTGACAGAGAAAGAGACAGAGACAGAGATCCCCAGCTTCCTACATGCTCTGGTCATTCCTCAAAATATGGAACTCAATCCAGGTTTCCCATGTGGGTGTCAGACCCCAAACCAATTGAGCCATCAGCTGCTGCCTGCCAGGGTATTATCAGCAGTATGCTGGAAGGAGGAGCAGAGCCCAGACTCTAACCCAAGCACTCCCATACGAGATGCTGGTATCTTATTGCTACACCAACCATAGTAAGCAGAGGACATCAAAAAGGTTCAAATGTAGAACTGAGACTCAGCTCACAGCATGCACGGTGGCAACCATGCAGGGGATAAGAAGTCACAAGACGTTTTTAAGAATGGGGTGACGGCCGGCGCCGTGGCTCAATAGGCTAATCCTCTGCCTTGTGGCGCCAGCACACCGGGTTCTAGTCCCGGTTGGGGCGCTGGATTCTGTCCTGGTTGCCCCCCTTCCAGGCCAGCTCTCTGCTGCGGCCCGGGAGTGCAGTGGAGGATGGCCCAAGTGCTTGGGCCCTGCTCCCCATGGGAGACCAGGAGAAGCACCTGGCTCCTGCCATCGGATCAGCGCGGTGCGCCGGCCGTGGCGGCCATTGGAGGGTGAACCAACGGCAAATGAAGACCTTTCTCTCTGTCTCTCTCTCTCACTGTCCACTCTGCCTGTCCAAAAAAAAAAAAAAAAAAAAAGAATGGGGTGACATAACCTATGTATACTTGTGGCTGTTGTTGTTGAAAACAGACTCAAAGTAAGAGGAAGAAGCAGGGAGGCAGAAGAGGTGGAAGCTACACTACAGACAAGAGATTACAGTACCCTGGGTGGTGGCAGCACAGGCCATGCAGTCATCAAACTAGAGATACATTCTAAACACAGACAGGATCACTGCGAGACCAGATGCTGGCTTTGACAGGAGTCAGGGATGACAAGGCTTGTGGCACAACTGGCAATCAGATGAAGAAGCTGACAAGGGTGAGTATAGCAGGCGCTGAGCTTTGGTAAGGCTGCATTTGAGATATTTCAATTAATAAGCATTTATTAAGAATTCCTTGCATTGACTTGGATCCTGAATATGTTCAGTTATTGAATTTTTTATTTTTGGCAAAAACATTTAATGATCCTATTTTTTACTTTTATCTCTTAGAAGTATGATTACTGTATGATGTGAGCAAATAATCTAGCAGCACTAAAACCCAATTACTTTTAGCCAAATACCAACACAAAACTGGGAGCCAGAAATCTGTTTTTTAAATGACTGCCATAGTAAAGTGTGTGCTTTCTTTGTGTTGATTGATTTTAGCGGATTGGCAGATGGGAAGGAAAGGTCATTTATTCTCTAAGAGGCACTGGCAACAATTAGCATTTAGACTTTATTACCAGAAGATGAACTTATAGGGCAGGCACTTTGTGCAGTGGTTAAGACATCTGCAACCCTGCTTGAGAAATCTGCATTCCACTGGAGTACCCGGGTTTCAATAACCACTCCACTTCTGACTGCAGCTTCTCGCTAACGCGCACCCTGGAAGGCAGCAGGTGATGGCCCAAGTATTTGCATTCCTACCACTCATGTAGGAGACCTGGATTGAGTTCTGGCTTCAGCCTGGCCCAGTCCTTGGTGCTGCAGGAATTTTTTTTTTCAAGATTTTATTCATTTATCGGAGAGGTAAAGTTACAGAGAGAGGGAGACAGAGAGAAAGCTCTTCCACCGCTGGTTCACTCCCCAAATGGCCACAATGGCTGGAGCTGGGCTGAATCGAAGCCAGGAGCCTCTTTCAGGTCTTCCATGTAGGCACAGGGGCCCAAGCACTTGGGCCATCTTCTACTGCTTTTCCAGGCCACAGCAGAGAGCTGGATCGGAAGGATGCTGGCGCCTCAGGCAGAGGTTTAGCCCACTACACCCAGTACTGGCCCCCATGCTGTAGGAATTTGAAGAGGGAACTAGTGGATGAAGGATCTCTTCTATGGGGCTGGCATTGTAGCGTAACGGGTAAAGCCACCGCCCGCCTGCAACTCCCTATGTGGGTGATACGGGTGCCGGTTCCAGACCTAGCTGCTCCACTTCCAATCCACTTCCTGCTAAAAGCCTGGGAAAGCAGTGGAATATGGCCCAAGTGCTTGTCCCCTGCACCCATGTGGGAGACCCGGAAGAAGCTCCTGGCTCCTGGCTTCAGCCTGGCCCAGCCCTGGGTTGTTGCAGCTTTCTGGGGAGTGAACCAGTGGATAGAAGAACTCTCTCTCTCCCTCATTCTGTGACAAATACATAATCTTAAAAACAAAAAATAAACAAAAAAAAACCCCTCTGTCTCTATTGCTCTCTCCTCCATTTCTCTGCCTTTCAAAAAACTAAAGACATCAAACCAAAAACAAAATAAAAATCATAAAAGTTTAGGGTATTTTAAAAGCTACTTAGATAAAATGTGCCTTAGCAGTGTTTATGTTATCATGTCTGTGGTATTAGAGTTGAAAACACTGCATTTTCCCACAAAAGCAAACAAAAGCATAACCAATGCTTCAGAAAATTTAAGACTGCAGAGGGTGGCTGGTGCAATGGGGTAAGCAGGCACCTGTGATGCTGGCATCTCATATAAACATTGGTTCAAGACCCAGCTACACTGCTTCTGATTCCTGCTAATAATAAATCTTTTTTTAATACATGTATTTATTTATTTAAAAGGCAGAATTAGAGAGGGAGAGAGATTCCCACTTGTACCGGTTCACTTCCCAGATGGTTGTTAAGGGCCAGGGCTGGGGCTGGCCAAAGCCAGGAGCCAAGAGCTTCTTCAAAGTCTCCCACATGGGTTGCAGGGGCCAAACACTCGGGCCATCTTCCACTGCCTTTCCCAGGCACATTAGCAGGGAGCTGGATCGGAAGTGGAGAAGTTGGGACACAAATCGGTGCCCATATTGTACCACAACACTGATCCCCTCAAACTAAAAAAAAAAAAGAAAAAGAAAAAGAAAATTTAATACTAAAATGATATGCTCTCCAGTCCATTTTTTTACTCATAATAGAGACCTAAAAATTTACACCTAATCATTACTTAATAGCTTAAAATTCTTCAATGGTTTCCCATTGCTTAGAGAATATATTTTTTCTTAAAATAATAAACAAGGCCCTCCGTGAACTAACCACTAGCTTACCAACTTCATTTTCTATCACTTCTTCCCATAAATCTCATGCTTTAGTTAATTTTTCCAAACCATGCTCCAGGGATACCAGTTCAAGACTCACCACAGGGGCCGGTGCCGCGGCTCACTAGGCTAATCCTCCACCTAGCGGCGCCGGCACACCAGGTTCTAGTCCCAGTTGGGGCGCCAGATTCTGTCCCGGTTGCCCCTCTTCCAGGCCAGCTCTCTGCTGTGGCCCGGGAGTGTAAGGGAGGATGGTCCAAGTCCTTGGGCCCTGCACCCCATGGGAGACCAGGATAAGCACCTGACTCCTGCCATCAGATCAGCGCGGTGCGCTGGCGCAGCGTGCCAGCCATGGCGGCCATTGGAGGGTGAACCAACGGCAAAAAGGAAGACCTTTCTCTCTGTCTCTCTCTCTCACTGTCCACTCTGCCTGTCAAAAAAAAAAAAAAAAAAAAAAAAAAGACTCACCACAGAAAAGAGAATCCATGGTCAAATACATATTGCCAAATACATCTTCTCAGAGACTGAGAATTACACTGTTATGGACATTAAGAAACACAGTACTGCCCACACGTGGGTCCTTGTGGTGCAACACATATTTTAAAAACAAAAATCTCCAGCCACACCAATGGCTGCAACCCATAGATCAGCCGTTCTGTTTCAGTTCTGTGCCTCTGCAGATGTTCCCTCCACCAGGATAGCTCCTTTCCTCTAGTCTGCTTGCTAGAAGTCTTTCAAACTTCAGATTAACTTTCTGAGTTTTTTTTAATTGTTAATTTGAAAGGTAGCCAGACAGACATGGACTTGAGGCTTTCTAAATGACAAGCAAGGGATGGGCATTTGGCCTAGTGGTCAAGATGCCCACGTCCCACAGTGATTCTTCTGCCTCCTATTCCACATGCCTTTGATGCAGACTCTGGAAGGCAGCAGCTGACAGCCCAAGTAGCTGGGTCCTGCCACGCAGGTGCGAGACCTGGACTGAGTTCCCAGCTACATGCTGTAACCACGGCCGAGTTAGGCCTGTGCAGGCATTTGGGGAGTGAACTAGAGCATGCGGCTGTGTATGCTAGGGTTCTCACTCTCTGCCTCGATTATATAATTTCTTAAAAAAAAAGATGGCCGGCACCGCGGCTCACCAGGCTAATCCTCCGCCTTGCGGCACCGGCACACCGGGTTCTAGTCCCGGCACACTGGGTTCTAGTCCCGGTCGGGGCGCCGGATTCTGTCCCGGTTGCCCCTCTTCCAGGCCAGCTCTCCGCTGTGGCCAGGGAGTACAGTGGAGGATGGCCCAAGTGCTTGGGCCCTGCACCCCATGGGAGACCAGGAGAAGCACCTGGCTCCTGCCTTCGAATCAGCGCGGTGCACCGGCCGCGGCGGCCATTGGAGGGTGAACCAACGGCAAAGGAAGACCTTTCTCTCTGTCTGTCTCTGACTGTCCACTCTGCCTGTCTAAAATCAAAAAAAAAAAAAAAAAGGGAGAAGAAGAAGAAGAACTCCTGACTTATTGTGATCCTGTTTCAGCTCCTCACTGGTCAAACAAGCACCTCTGCCCTTACTGGACTTATGACAATTCAAGATCATTCATTGAGTTCAAAAAGCTGATATATATTTTATGACATAAGAGGTTAAACTAGGGGCTGGCGTTATGGTCTAGCGGGTAAAGCCACCTGTGACACTGACATCCCATAGGGGCACCGGCTCACCTTCCAGTTGCTCCATTTCCAATCCAGCTCCCTGTTAATGGTCTGGGAAAACCAGCAGACGATAGCCCAAATGCCTGAGCCCCTGCTATCTATGTGGGAGACCTGGAAGAAGCTCCTGGCTCTTGGCTCCTGGCTCTGTCCTGGTCCAGCCCGGCCTAGCCCTGGCTGTTTGGCTCTCTGGGGAGTAAACCAGCAGATGGAAGATGCCTCCGTCTCTCCCTCTCTTCCGAATAAATAAAAAAAAAATCTTTTAATAAAAGAGGTTAAACTTGCTAATTCCACTGAAGCAAACAATACATATTTCAACTATTTGGGCGTGTATAACCAGTATCTAGTCCTAAGTCTCAATTACTCGGGTGCTGGACAAAGCCTCCTGAACTCCCCAAGTCAGAGGCACAGACAGCTGCAGGTGTGGCCTCTGCGGTGAGCGCGCAATCGCGCGGCTGCCTTTTCGCTGAATTCCACGCAGGCAGCTTCCCGCGGCCAATCTACAGAACGCAAGAGCAAGTCCGGCGCGCTGGACACTGGCTTTTATTCTTAGGGAGTGAGGAGGAGGTGGGTCCGTTTTTCCAGGACTCCGTATACACACGCACCAAGGGACACGGATTTGCTGTCCAATACCATATGCCTGTTACGGCCCCCTCCCAACCTGAAATCCGACCCCACGGCGGATCCGCCTGGAAGGTGGAAGATGCAGCTTCCACTCTCACCAGGTTAAACAGCACGCCTGGCAGAGGGCAGTCCCCCTTACTCCTCTCGTCTCCACAGACAGGGCGGCCCGGGAGTAGCTCTTGTGGGGAGGGCCTGTTCAGAGAGGCTTGGGTCTTGTGCGTGCTGAAGTCAACCCCGACGACGAACGGGATTTTACGTTGACTTCACCGAAACTGGAGCTCCCTGGCCTTAAGCAAGAGGCGACCACTGACTCAACGTGCGTGGGCCGCAGCATCTCGGGGAGACACCCCCCCTTTTCGGGGCTGGCACACGCTCGCAGTCACCGCAACGACAACGCACAAGCCCACCCTCTCCCAGGCGCAGGCGGGAACGCAGACGTCCGCAGAGAACGCACAGCGCGGGTTAGGAGCGGCGGGCCCCAGCAGAAGCGTCCGCAGACACCAGGGCCCGCCTGCGGCCAACCTGAATCCCCGTCTAGCGCGCCCCAGTTTCTCAGGGCCGGCACTACAGGGGACACCTTTTGGGAGGAGAGGTCTGACCTGAGAGGCCGCGAGCGCCGGCTATGGCGGGAACCAGCTTGGGAGCTGAGAGCAGCCAAGGCATGACGGTCTAGCCCACGCGTCAGGAGAAGAGGCCCAGCGCTCCGGGAAGCCGCCTGCAGCAGGGCCGCGTCGCCAGGAAACCAAGCCAACCGACCCGCCCCTTCCGGCGGGCGCCGTTCCTGCGGGCGTGCTGTGATGACGTCACGCCCCTCCTGGGGCCTTCGCTCTAGCCGGAAGGTCCGTTCTTCGGTCCTGGGGTCAGGCTCCACTTAATGCCCACGTCCCCAGAAGGTCGTATTCTGACAGACTGCCCGGAGGGGCCGTCTCCCGCTTCTTTGAAGGCACCCACGTAGGGAGTCGGCCTCTCCTGGGAGCCGGTTCAGAGGTGTGTGCGACGAGAGGCAGGCAACAGCACGAACACCCACACTTCTAGAAGGTTCTGAGCAGTGCGCAGCGGGTAGCAGCGAGCTAGCGAAGGACCCGGGGTCACGAGACCGTTGGGTGGGCGGAGCCGGCGGCCGGGGAGGTTCTAGTCTGTTCTGCCTCGCGGCAGCCGCCCCCCTACTAACGCGGTCACGTTGAGCCAGCGCCCGGGCCTGGAATCGGGGCCGCCAGCCGCCGCCCGCCGACCATGGATCCCCGCAAAGTGAACGAGCTCCGGGCCTTCGTGAAGTTATGTAAGCAGGACCCGAGCGTCCTGCACACGGAGGAGATGCGCTTCCTGAGAGAGTGGGTGGAGAGGTGAGAGCCGGGCCTGGGGTCGGACCGTTGGCGGCGGCGGCGGGCGGGCGCCCCTCGGCGTCGGGGTCCGGGTCCGGGCGCGGGCGGCGATTTGCCGGGCCCGAGGGAGAAGCCGGGGGTCCCGGCGGCGGGCAGCGCTGCGCCCCGACCACCTCCCCCCGCACCCCGAGGGTGGCCAGGCGTGCAGGCCATGGTCGCCAATGGACGCCAGTGGACGCCGGAGTCCTGGGCGTTGGGCGCCGGGCGCGGGTTTCCGTTTCTGCGGCTGCCGCGTTGGGTGGTGGTGGTCGTCGCCTCGCCGAGGTTCTGACTGCGTAGACGTGGTTACGCGCGGAGTCTGCCCCGTTAGCAAACGTGCGACCCGAGGCCCCCCCCCCCCCCCCCCCCGCCGAGACCAGAATGTTCCCACGATCTGTGCTTGGCTCCGCGCAGGGAATTCATTCCGCAGGCGCCGTGCCAGGCGCCGGGTGCGCGCGAGCGCAGGCGGAGGTGCGCGCTGGTGTGTGGAAGTGGCGGCCTGCACGCCGCGGGGTCTCCCGAGACGGGGCGCGGCGGGCGTCCGGGGACCCTGAAGAAGGCACCCGTCCGCCCAGGAGCGCCGGCAGCGGCCAAGCGTTTATTCCACGGGATTTCTGCTGTTGGAGGGGAAATGAACTTGCAGCCGCCCAGATATGGGGAGAGTATTTCAGCACGTCTGCTCCCTAAGGAGGAAACTTAGGTTAAAATCTCTGAATATTGTTTACGGTGGCTTCAGTTTTTTTTTTTTCCTCTTGAGAGATTTTTTTTTTTTTTTAGGTTTTTCTCCCTACCAAATTTCTACCTACTGTGAGGTTTTTACTCGTGTGGGAAGTTCTGAGAACACTTAAAATTTGTGACTGTAGGGACTCTGTCGTTAACAGCCTTGGACAAGAATCCTATTTCAGAAGCTCGGTGCTTCTCTGAAACCTGGCCAGTGGAAGTAATACCAGCCAGGAGCTCAGCGAGAGATTTTAGTCGTGTTTTCCTTTTTTTAATTAGTCGATCCAAAAGTGTCAGTACCTACTTGTTACAGGAAAGAGCCTATCCTTCATAAATTGTTCCTAAAATTTCAAATGAAATAGGTGTACACCACAGGAAGGCGTAATGGGGGGGGACATTGTGTTGGTGGTTGTCATGTTTTTCTCCGTTCCTACTAGAGAGGAATAGGGGACACTGAAGAAAAAACATTGAAACGTGCTGCCTGAGAACAGTGTGGTAGCTGGGCTGGAGTGATCATAGCCATGCGAAGAATTCCAACATAAGGCCTGCAGAGTGACTTATACGCTGCTCCTCCCCCAGAATGGCCATGCATCTTATTTTGTTTCCATTAATTCCAGTTTTTCGTTCTGGTTCCGTTTGTATTTTTGTTGTGGCATTCTAAATTGTTGGTTTAAGCATGGAGCAGAGCATCTTGGAAAAGGCGGCAGGCAGGCAGAAAGATCGGTCTTCATCCACCGGTTCGCTCCCCAGATGCCAGCAACAGCCTGGGCCGGGCCGGGCCGGGCGGAACCCAGGAGCCAGGACTCAGTCCCAGTGTCCGACATGTGGCAGGGAGCATCACCTGTGGCTTCCAGGGTGTGCATTAGCAGAAGTTGCACTAGAAAGCAGAGCTGGGACCAGAACCCAAGCACTTTGATACCGGATATGGGTGTCAGGGGTGTCCCAAGCTGTGTCTTAACGGCTTTCACTAAACTCCCTAAACTCCCGGTCCAGTGGTCTTATTTTAAATTTAAATTGACACATTAATCTTTGGTCCTAGATTTAAATTCAGGGGTGGGCATTTGGCCTGGCTGTGAAGATGCTGGCGCTGTGGCATAGTAGATAAAGCTGCTGCCTGCCGCACCAGCATCCCGAATGGCCGCCGGTTCCAGACCCAACTGCTCCACTACTGATCCAGCTCTCTGCCGTGGCCTGAGAAAGCAGTAGAAGATGGCCCTAGTCCTCGGGCTCGTGCACCCACGTGGGAGACCTGGAAGAAGCTCCTGGCTCTGGATCCACGCAACTCCAGCCAACTGGGGAGTGAACCAGCGGATGGAGACCTCTCTCTCTCTCTCTCTCTCTCTCTCTCTCTCTGCCTCTCCTTCTCCTTCTCCTTCTCCTTCTCCTTCTCCTTCTCCTTCTCCTTCTCCTTCTCCTTCTCCTTCTCTCTCTGTGTAACTCTGACTTTCAAATAACTAAATAAATCTTTTAAAAAAATGCTATTTCCCATATTGCTTGGGGTTCCAGTCTCATCTTCACTCCCTTATTCCACCTTCCTGCTTATGTAGATAGTCACTGGGAGACAGGAGTTACTGCCTCCTGGCTTTGAACCCAGCCAGGGATCTTGAAGTTTGCATTAGGTGTTTTCTTTGCCTTCATAGGATTCAGAGCAGTCCAAGACTATAGCTGATGGGGTGAGTGTGGAGACTTTGGGGTTCAGAAACAGTCCTACAACTGTTCCTACTGTTAGGGTTCCTTGAGTTGAGACCATTTTAGAGTTTTCTCTCATTCATACAAATTAGTTACAGGTACCCAGGCTTCGATGTTGAAGAACAGCTTATTTGCTAAAATTATTTTGATGTGAGGATTTATTAGTTCAGAGGCTGTAGTAGGTTAAGCATCCGCCTGTGGTGCTGGCATCCCATTTCGGCGCCATTTCAAGTCCTGGCTCCTCCACTTCCAATCCAACTCCCTGCTGATGGCCCAGAAAAGCAATAGAAGATTCTCCAAGTGGTGGGCCCTGCACCTGTGTGGGAGACCTGGAAGAAGCTCCTGACTTCGGATTGGCACAGCTCCAGCTGTTGCAGCCATTTGGGGAATGAACCAGCAGATGGAAGACCTCTCTGTCTCTCCCTTTGTAACTATGCCTCTCAAGTAAATAAATCTTTTTTTAAAATGCTGAACTAATAAATTCTTTTAATTTCAAAAGGGTATTTTATTTTTTAAAAAAAGATTTATTTACTTGAGAGGTAGTGTTACAGAGAGATCTTCCATCCACCGTTCATTCCCCAAATGGCTGCAACAGCCGGTGCTGGGCCAGTCAGAAGCCAGGAGCTTCTTCCCGGTCTCCAACGTGGTTGCAGCGGCACTAGCCCTTGGGCTAGTCCACTGCTTCCCCAGGCACATTAGTAGGGAAATGAAGCAACAGGGACTCGAAACAATCCCCACATGGGACGCTGGTCTTGCAGGCAGTGGCTTTACCTGCAACGTCACAGTGCTGTCTCTCACCTTCAACAATCTTGAACCGTGGGGGAAAAAACCTGAACCAACAGTGGGTGGGGATCCAGGGACACTGTGTTCTTTTCTTGTTTTTGTTTTTCAAATATTTGAGAGCATTACAGAGAGAGGGAGAGACAGAGAGGGAGGTATTCCATCTGCTGGCTCATTCCCCAAATGGCCTCAACAGCTTGGAGCTGGGCCGATCTGAACCCAGGAGCTTCTTTGGGTCTGCCACGTGGTTGCAGGGTTCCAAGCACTTGGGCCGCCTTCCACTGCTTTCCCAGGCATACTAACAGGGAGCTGGATGGGAAGTGAAGCAGCCAGGACTCCAACCAGTGCCCATATGGGATGCTGGCCTTGCAGGTGGTAGCTTTACCTGCTACACCACAGTGCTGACCCTCACCTTTAACAGTCTTGTGAACCATGGGGGAGAAAACCTGAGCAAACAGTCAATTTGGATCCAGGGACTTCTCTTCCCTGCCCTGCCCTGCTCTCCCCTCCCCTTCCCTGTTTGAGAGGCACAGTTAAATAGACATAGGTCTTCTATCCACTGGCTCACTTCCCAAATGGCAGCAATGGCTGGAGCTGGGCTGATCCCAAGCCAGGAGCTTCTTCCCAGGCCTCCTGTGTGGGTGCAGGGGCCCGAGCACTTGGGCGGTCTTCTACTGCCTTCCCAGATCAGTTCACGGGGAGCTGGAAGGGAAGTGGAGTAGCGAGGACTGGAACTGGTGCCCATATGGGATGCTGGTGCCACAGGTGGAGGTTTAACCTACTATGCCACAGTGCTGACCCCACTATGTTCTTTTCCTCAAATGTATTTTGAAATGTCTTTTTGAGGAAGAAGCATTATTTGACACCTGCTCTCCTGTAATGACTTTGTCCACTTTGTGTCTTATATGTGTTTTATGGTTTTACTTGATGATTTAACTAAGTTCAAAACAAGTAACGTTGTGTTCCTCCCCAGCACAGCACGTGGCTTCTAGTAAATTCATTAAATGAAGTTAACAGGACATTTCTGCCCTCAGAATTTAGAACATAACATCCAGTTCTGTTGTACTGGGACATGTGTATAAATAGCACAAAGCAGAGTGAAGGTTTTAATTTTCTAAGAAAATTATGAATGAAGTCTTGTGATCCAGTGTGAGGAAAGTCTGCACCAGCCCACTTGATTTTGTAATGTGAAAGCCCACACTCGAGCAAAATCCAAGCAAGAATTTTTGGATGGAAACTGGCTTGTTCAGAATCTGGGAAGCATTCATGGAAGTTTCTGAGTATATAAATGGGTGTTACCTCTCAGTAGTTAAGTAGAATTTGGAATGTGAGAAACTTCATCCTCAACTACTTGAGAGTGAGCTGCCAACCTTATGCCTCCAGCGCCACTGAGTGTATTTTTCCTACAGTCTCCATAATACAACCATCGAACTTGGGAAGCTAATGTTGCTGGGTTAGTGCTGTATTCCTCAGGATTACACACTGCGTTAGTTGTCATCTTCTATTCCTGCAGCCTTTACTTTCATTGAAGGTCTTGACATCCAGTGTTACAGTCTAGTTATTTTTGTAGACTTTCCCTTCTCTTAGATTTATCTGATCTTAGAATTAGATTTAGTGTTAATATATTTCTTGTCAGGAATATCACTTCCCAAAGTTAGACTGCTGTAAATGTGTTTGGATGTCACTCTGTTCATTCCTGATGCTGCATTTTGAAGCTTAGGAAAAGCACAATATAAGAAGCCTCGTTTTCATTTATATCTTAACTGTAAAGAATTAGTATTGGATTTCTGTACGCTTTGAAAAATAGTTTTTCCCATAGAAAAGAATTTTGTGATGTTTGCATGCCTGTTTATTAAGACATTTTACTGTGTGGAATGGCCAGTTAAGGATGTTTTGGATCATGTACTTGTTTTTGTCACAGAGGAGCCGTTACTTACAAGGTTCTGAGTCATTGAAGATCTTTGGTAACTGTCAGGCAGAATGGAAAAGGTGTACACAATTTTCTCCAGCAAATGGTGTTTATAGGAAATCCCAGAGTTACTTTTTGATTCCATTTGCAGCTTTGCATTGATATTTTGGCTTCAAGTTGAGTTCATCAAAAGATACACTGTGAAAAGGCAAACCACGGGTGTCAGAAGATATTTGGGACACATAAAACTGACAAGCTTACACATTAAGACTGCCTGATAGAAAGCTGGATGAGAGTTGAACTTTACTAAAAGGACTGTGCAGTCGGGCAGTAAATAGTTGGAAAGAGACTCAGCTAAAACGAGATGCCACCACACAGCTATCAGTACACCCCTGTCAGCATGGCTAACAGTAGCTAGGTGAGAATGTAACTTGGCAAAGACAGCTTTGGAAAACTGATAGCCATTAATCCTCCACCTGCGGCGCCAGCACCTCAGGTTCTAGACCCAGTTGGGGCACCAGATTCTGTCCCGGTTGCCCCTCTTCCAGGCCAGCTCTCTGCTGTGGCCCGGGAAGGCAGTGGAGGATGGCCCAGGTGCTTGGGCCCTGCACCCGCATGGGAGACCAGGAGGAAGCACCTGGCTCCTGGCTTCAGATTGGCGCAGTGCATCGGCCGTAGCGGCCATTTAGGGGGTGAACCAATGGAAGGAAGACCTTTCTCTCTGTCTGTCTCTCACTGTCTAACTCTGCCTGTCCAAAAAACAAAACAAAACAAAACAAAACAAAAACAAAAAACTGATAGCCATTTAAATTCAGCATACACATACTGTGTCCACAAATTCAACACAATTTAAATGAATGTAAATGTGAATATGGCAACTCTGTCAGCATTTTAAGGGCATTTTGGAAGAGGTTCCTGTTTTCTAAATTAATATCTTTCCTTGTTTTACACAAGAGTTGATGGCTTTGTTGTTGCCCCTCATGTTTTTAAGCAAATTTTAGTAGTCTTTGTGGCTTCTAACTTTTACTGTTGTGTAGTATTCTTAAGTTCACCAAAGATTTAATCACTGGGCTATTTGTCTTTATTTTTAAGTTATTTGCATATGACTTATAGTATTCCCCTGGACTGTTCAGAAAGGAAGGGTTTGGAAGGCCAAGAGAAAGTTATCAGTGGGTAAAGCTTAGAGGGGATGAGGAGACAATCTTTTTTTTTTTTTTAAATTTTTTTTTATATTTTAAAAGCAGCCGGAACTTGAACTGGTGCCCATATGGGATATCGGCATCACAGGAGGCAGCTTTATGCACTGTGTCACAACGCCAGCCCGAGAAAGAAAATCTTCAATTTTGAGGGGAGTGGGAATATAAGCAAAAAGAATCCTTCTAGGTCACAGCCAGATGAAGCATAAACATTTTGAATTATATTATGACTGCATAATTATTTCATGAGTTGCCTGTTTAACTGAACTGTTGCTAAACGTCACATTTCGAGTTTGGATTTGAGTATACTGACTGGAATCTAAGCTGATGATTGTTGTAAATGGTTTTGCCACTGCTTTTTGTTTGTGTGCTCATTTCCCTCCAGGAATGGGCACAGAGGAACCATAATTAGGGTTACTAGGCTTACTGAGCCAGGGCAAAGGTTTCGTGAACCAGTGTGCTAAAAAAGTAAATAAAATTTTGAGGTGAAATGATAATATCAAGGAATTCAGATTAAATAAGAACTTACTGTTAAGTTTTGGAAAGGTAATTATCTAAATGTTGTGGCTTCTTTTTTAGGCATAAATATGTTGCATGACTTAGTGAATTTTAATTTTCTAAATAATTGCTGTTTTTATTTTCTTCAAGCATGGGGGGTAAAGTACCACCTGCTACCCATAAAGCTAAACCAGAAGAAAATATCAAGGTGAGTTTTCCTTTCAATTGTATATTTAGTGATGAAATACCATAAAGTTTCTTAGGGGCTATTTTTAACTGTTCTCAAATTACATTCCAGATTTCTTCAAGATCACTTGGAAATAATACCTTTTAAAATTATGTCTCTCTCTTTAGTACCTATGTTTTGTAGCTACTTCATTAATATTTGCAAAGTAAACTAACAGGTTGTCCAGATCAGCACTGCTGAATTGCTTCGCCCTACTAGCTGAGAGTTGTTTGTGACTATGATTCATGGTATTATTTTAGCATATTTGCAGAAAAGATACAGCAACAAGGGATTGCCAGTTGCTGAAATTTAGAGAAGAGGAGAGAAATAATACTCTTTCAAAAATTTTTTATTTGGGGGCGGCGCTGTGGCCTAGCGGGTAAAGCTGCTGCCTGCAGTGCTGGCATCCCATATGGGCGCTGGTTCGAGTCCCAGATGCTCTGCTTGTGATCCAACTCTACAGTGGCCTGGGAAAGCAGTAGAAGAGGCCCAAGTCCTTGGACCCTTGTACCTGTGTGAGAGACCCGGGAGTGAAGGAGCTCCTGGCTCCTGGCTCCGGATAGGCCTGGCTCTGCCCATTGCGGCCAGAAGTAAACCAGCAGATGGAAGACCTCTCTCTCCACCCCCTCCCTCCTTCTCCCTCTCTCTCCCTCTTCCCTTCTTTCCCTCTCTCCCATCCTCTGCCTCTCTGTAACTCTGCCTTTCAAATAAAATAAATCTTTTAAAAAATTTTTTTATTTGAAAAGCAGAATTAGGAAGAGACAGAGCTTGCATCTACTGATTTACTCCCCAAATGGCTGCAAAGGCTGGGGCTGGGCTGGGCTGGGCTGGGACTAGCAGACTAGAACTCCATCCAGTACTCTCACGTGGGTGGCAGGGGCCCAAGTACCAGACAGTCTTTTACTGCTTTCCTGGGTACATTAGCGAGGAGCTGGGTCAGAATGTAACAGCAGGGACTGGAACTTGCACTCCTAGGAGGTGCTGGCATCTCAGGTGGCAGCTTAACTCACTGTACCACAATGCCAGCCCTTAGAATTCTTTTTTTTTTTTTTTTTTTTTTTTTTTTAAGATTTATTTATTTATTTGAAAGGCAGAGTTAGAGCTCTTCCATCCACTGATTCACTCCCTAAATGGCCATAACAGCCTGGGCTGGGCCAGGTTAAAGCTAGGAGCCTGGAGTTCCATCCCACATGGGTGCAGGGGCCCAAGCACTTGGGCCATTTTCCACTGCTTTCCCAAGTGGCATTAGCAGGGACCTGGAAGTGGAGTAGCTGAAACTTGAACTGTTGCTTATATGGGATGTCAGCAGCCTCTAGAATTCTTGATACTTGTAGGATGGGGAGTTTACATTCCATCATGATGTATACTTTCAGATTCTTTAAGTTTTCATTGTTAATATACTGCGATTTCATAAATCTTCATTTACAATTCCAAAACTCAAGAACCCTTGAAAAGTAAAGATTTTTAATAAACTTGGTGATAAAACATCTGAATGAACATGAGGCTTTGTAGTTTTTATATCACTAATTGTGAATATCCAGACTTGACTTCGCAGAAATGATGACGTGCCTGACGATAGAGTTGTGGGCTGCAGTGCCCGTTGAAGGTGTTCCATAATATATGCTGCACGCGGGGTTTAGGTTCTAAAACATTGTGCTTCAAAACTAAGGCTAGTTTACAATGAGGAGGGGAGCATTAACAAGTGGAATGTAATGTTGTATGAACAGATTTTGCATAAATTTGTCTAAATTAAGATATATATATATATATATATATATATGTATGTAGTGTGTTACTCAGTACTGAAAGCACTGTTTCCCTTCCTTTGCTAGGAAGAAAAAACAGATAGTAAGAAGGCGGAGGAGACCATACAGACAGACGAGCCGTCAAGTGAGGAAAGTGATCTAGGTGAGGAGGTAGTGGTTTGTTTGGTAATCTTACAAGAACTCTGTGTTGATTTTTATTAAAGTAAATCACTGATAGAAGTATAATGTGAGCTAACATAAAAAGTGACACTTTCTGGTAGCCACATATTTTTAAAAGTAATCTTGAAATTCACATTTATGTAAACACCGTGGTTAAAATGTTAACATAAATAGAATCATTATTAAAAAAGCTGTTAATGAGTTATTTTTCTTCCCCTAAGTCTAAAATCTGGAGTGTACTTTACAAATAGAGCTCCTGTCAGTTCAGGTGTTAATTTGACTGGAAATTATTTAGACTTCATAGCATTTATATTTGAAAAAGTCATCACATATGCACACTGTCCTAAACAGCTTTAAAAGTTTTCCAATAATATTTTACCAACTTTCCATCATGAAGTATTTTTTTGTGTACAATACAAACTTAGGCAAGCTGTGTTAAAATTTGATTAAATTTTTTTGTTCCTACCCTTGTATAAGGATACAAACTTCAGTTATGATCCACATATGTGGAGATTTAATGCACAATGTGGGGACTAGTTAATGTATTATGTACTTGAAAAATATTAAGAAACCAAGTATTCTCACCAGGGAGAATAAAATGAATATATAGGTGAGATGATGAAAACGTTGATGAACTGCTTGGGTGACTCATTTCACATTGTATACTTACCTCAAAATACCATGTTGTGCATCAGTATATACAGTATTTATTTGTCAGTCATGCTTCAATTAAGAAATTTGGGCCGGCGCCGCAGCTCACTAGGCTAATCCTCTGCCTTGTGGCGCCGGCACACCGGGTTCTAGTCTGGGTCGGGGCGCCAGATTCTGTCCTGGTTGCCCCTCTTCCAGGCCAGCTCTCTGCTGTGGCCAGGGAATGCAGTGGAGGATGGCCCAAGTGCTTGGGCCCTGCACCCCATGGGAGACCAGGATAAGTACCTGGCTCCTGCCATCGGATCAGCGCTGTGCGCCGGCCTCAGCGGCCACTGGGGAATGAACCAGCGGCAAAGGAGGACCTTTCTCTCTGTCTCTCTCTCACTGTCCACTCTGCCTGTCAAAAAAAATAAATAAAATAAATAAAAATTTTTAAAAAAAATTTAAAAAAAGGCAGACTTTCCACTTATCTACAGAGGCATAGTACAAAGATAAGTCGCCACGGTGGGGAAAAAAAAAAAGAAATTTGTTGGGGCTGGCACTGTCGTGTACTGGGTTGGCTCCAGCATCCTATATGGGCACCGATTTGATTCCCAGCTGCTCCACTTACGATCCAGCTCCCTGCTGATGCACCTGGGAAAGCAGTGGACAACGGCCCAAGTCTTTGGGCTCCTGCACCTCTGTGGGAGACCTGGAAGAAGCTCCTGGCTTTGTATCAGCCCAGCTCTGGCCATTGTGGCCATACTCTGCCTTTCAAATAAATAAATAAATCTTTAAAAAAAAAAAAAACGGAAGAAAGCAGTTTTTGTGGATGCCAATTCTCAGTTCAGATGGCTAATTGTAATTTCATTGGTTCTTTTTTGACTGTTAAGAGGAAACTACTTGTCAGATTCACTCTTTGCTACAAATCTCAGTATTGTTCACTTTATTATTTAGTAATGATTATCACAGTTATTTTGTTTTCCTCTGCTGTGGGAAATTATAGTTGACATTCAATGTGAAACTCACATGATACCTCTTCAGTTCACTGTTTTGGTTATAGTACTAGCCTTGGGACTCAGTTCTTCATCAGTAGTTTGTCTTTATTTTAAAATTAAATTTGCCCTTACTACTTTTAAAAATGAAAATTATTAAAATTAGTGTTTCACTATGTATTTTAAATGTTTTTAAAGATTTATATATTTCAAAGGCAGTTACAGAGAAGAGGGAGGAGAGACAGAGATCTTCCATCCACTGGATCACTCCAAAAATGGCCACAACAGCTGGGGCTGGGATAAGCAGAAGCCCGTAGCCAGGAGTTCTTCTGGGTTTCCCCCATGAGTGCAGGGGCCCAGGGTCTTGGGCCATCCTGCACTGCTTTCCCAGGCACATTAGCAAGGACCTGCATCAGAAGTGGAACAGCCTAGACTCAAACTGGCACCCACATGGGACACCAGTGTTGCAGATGACAACAGCTTAACCCACTATACTGCAATGATAGCATTTTTTTTTTTTAAAGAGTAATTTATTTGAAAGTTACAGAGAAAGAGGAAGAGACAGAGAAATCTTCTGTCCACCGGTTCATTCCCCAAGTTTCCACAGCATGGCTGGTCCAGGCCGAAGCCAGGAGCTTCTTCAAGTCTCCCATTTGGCACAGAGCCCCAAGCACTTTGGGCCATCTTTCACTGCTTTCTAAGGCACATAACCAGGGAGCTGGATTGGAAGTAGAACAGCTGGGACTCAAACTGACACCCTTATGGAATGGTGGTGGCTTAACCCACTATGCCATGATAATGGCCTGTACATAAAAATTTTATAAAAGATTGATTTATTTGAAAGAGTTAGAGAGAGGCCGGCACCGCGGCTCACTAGGCTAATCCTCTGCCTTGTGGCGCCGGCACACCGGGTTCTAGTCCCGGTTGGGGCGCCGGATTCTGTCCCGGTTGCCCCTCTTCCAGGCCAGCTCTCTGCTGTGGCCAGGGAGTGCAGTGGAGGATGGCCCAGGTGCTTGGGCCCTGCACCCCATGGGAGACCAGGAAAAGCACCTGGCTCCTGGCTCCTGCCATCGGATCAGCGCGGTGCGCCGGCTGCAGCGCGCTGGCCGCGGCGGCCATTGGAGGGTGAACCAAGGGCAAAGGAAGACCTTTCTCTCTGTCTCTCTCACTGTCCACTCTGAATGTCAAAAAAAAAAAAAAGAGAGAGAGGTCTTCCATACTCTGGTTCACTTCCCAGATGGCTGCAACGGCCGGAGCTGTACTGATCCAAAGCCAGGAGTCAGGAGCTTTTCTGGGTCTCTCACGTGGGTGCAGGGGTCTGAGGACTTGGGCCATCTTCTACTGCTTTCCCAGGCCATAGCAGAGAGCTGGATCAGAAGAGGAGCAGCTGGGACTCGAACTGGTGCCCATATGGGATGTCAGCACTTCAAGCCAGGGCTTGAACCCATTGCACCACAGCACCGGCCCCGACATAAAATATTTTTCAAGGAACATTATAGTGTTTCAGTGTATGGAAAATTATTTGAACTGAATCAAGTTTTTGACACTGACTAAATGAGTGGTGTATTTATGTGTGATTCCAAAAACTGCATACACCCTCAGTCCACTGCAATCTGATGATAACTGCCTTAATGTGATGTTTTGGTTTAAATGAAATGTCTTACCAAAGCAATAAAATTGTGTTTAGTGGGGAAACACTTTGCAGTGAACATTAAAATTGTAATTGTGTATTCAGTTTGTTAGTTGCAGTAGCCATAGTGCTTCAGTTTTTGTTCCATGTGTCTAGTGGCTACTGTCTGCACAGCACAACTCTTACCATCATCTTCTCACCTTGGCAGAAATTGACAATGAAGGTGTAATTGAACCAGACACTGATGCGCCTCAGGAAATGGGAGATGAAAACGTAGAGGTAAGGAACCTTCTGCTTAGTGTAAGAAATGTGGAGGCCTCCGGTGGCAGTTACTTTATGCTCTTCCAGGAAGAGCACATTTTGAATCTACCTGCCTTAAAGCATTTAGGAGAGCATTTTATTTCATCACTTAAAATACTTGGGAGAATTTTCATGTTTTCAAGCATACTCTGCAACATTCACCTCTGAAATCCTGTGCTTTGTGTGTTTTGCAGCCTTCTTCAGGGTTGCGTCTTTCTTCTCGTCCTTGACTGGTCTTTAGTGTTCCCCTAAAGTGTGTTCCAGATGGAACTGCCTCTGATGCTCTCTTGTTTTTAACAGTGGGCTCTGAGGGGGGTGAAAAGTGTTTCTTACTGGGGAGGGTTGGAAAAATTTTAGAATGATCTTCAGTTTCTGTATGTTCAAAAAGTTTGGAATAATGTAGTTAGTAGGTAAGTTTATTTGGGAGCAGAAAGAAATTGGAAATACGGCGTAGGCATAGTTAAAATCCATACCCAGGTTCTTCATAGTATGCATTATCCATGAACCTTTCGGAGACCCTACATATGCATAGATTTCAAAGTTTTTGCCCCAAAATAAGCTCATGGTTTTTTGCTTTCTGAGAGAAAAAGCTCCCATCCACTCATTCCCCAGATGCCTACAACAGGTCTCCCATGTGAGTGTTAGGAACTGGATTACTTGAGCTGTTACTGCTGCTCCGAGGGTCTGCACTGGGAATGTGCAATCAGGAGCTGAAACAGGACAAGTAACCTAGTTACTGTGGTACAGAACGCTGGCATCCTAACTGCTAGACCAAGTGCCCACCCTAAGCTCATCTTTCAATCCCATTTTTCCCTTCTTTTTGTAGGACCCTCATATATGTTGGGTGTGTTCAGGGCCTTGCCTAGTTTTCCTATACACTAATGTCACATAGTTATATACTGCTGTATAGTAAATCCTATTATCTGGTAGGACGGGACACCAAAACTTGAGTATTTTGCTTGTTCTTGGCTCTTTGTTTTTCTATGTAAAGTTTAGAATCAGATTATTAAACCTCCCTACTTGAATTACCCTATAGCTAAATATTTAGGTAGAATATTGATACAACCATTCAGGTCAGCTGTCCATGAATGTGGTATCTAATTTTTACATATTCTAAAAATGTCTTTCAATAACAATTTTTTTCAGTCTTACAGATTATTAGCAATAAGCAACATGAGTACTCTGTCACTGTGAAAAATTACAGAGGAGTTACAGTTTACAGAGTTAAAGTTTACAGAGGAGTTTCTGTTTATCATTGGTTATATGTGACTTCGTATGTCTATGTACATTCCTAACTTTTGTATAGCCTACTTGTAATTCATTGGGAATCTTAAACTTTAGGGCGGTAATGTTCTTTGGCTCTAAGATTTATTTATTTGAAAGGCAGAGTTACACAGAGAGGCAGAGAGAGCAAGGTCTTCCATCTGCTGGTTCACTCCCCAGATGGCCTCAAAGGTCGGAGCTGAGCTGATCCAAAGCCAGGAGCCAGGTACTTCTTCCAGGTCTCCCATGTGGGTACAGGGGCCCAGGGACTTGGGCCATCTTCTACTGCTTTCCCAGGCCATGGCAGAGAGCTGGATCAGAAGAGGAGCAGCTGGGACTAGAACCAGTGCGCACACGGGATGAAAGCGCTGTGGGTGGTGGCTTTACCTGCTATGCCATAGTGCCAGCCCTGGCCCTAGAACACTTTTAACTTTTTATGTTTTGTTGTTGTTGTTGTTTTTGAATGTTGTCTTTTTCTTGCTCTCTATACTCGGTCATTTGGAGCCCTGACTAGATTTATGTTCGACCTTTTTCACTACTAAGTTTTATCTCTGTCGGTGCTTCAGATCAGTGCAGCTCTGGCTGTTGCAGCCATCTGGGAAGTGAACCAGAGTATGGAAGACCTCTCTCTCTGCCTCTGCCTCTCTCTAACTCTGCTTTTCAAATAAATTAATTAATCTTTAAAAAATTTTTATTCATTTTTGTTTATTTGAAAGAGACAGGCAAGCAGAGATGGATTTGCCATACACTGTCAGGGCTGGGCCAGGCAGAATCCAGGAGCCCAGAGCTCAATCCAGGTTTCCTACATGTGTAGCAAGACACAGGTACTTAAGTCCCCTTCTCAGGGTGAGCATTAGTGAGCATTAAGCAGGAAGCTGGGATCAGAAGCAGAGCCAGGATTCAAACCTAGGCACTATTGTAAGATGCCGTCCCAAACAGGTTTAATTACTATGCCAAATACCTGCCTCCCAGAGGTTGCCAAAACTTCTAGGAATTTTTGTTGAAATTGCTTTGAATTTATTACAAAACTTGGTAGTAGATTAAAGTATTCAAAATAATTTCTATAAACATGGCATATATTCTAAAAGTTCTTGAAACGTTTTTTATGTTACTTAGTGGCGCCCCCCCCCTCTCCTGTGGAAGTATTGTGGTCTTAGAAATGGTGCTTTATACGTGTAGTTGATGTTCTAAATATGTTTTTTATTATATTTACTAATGATTTTTGCTGGTTCGAGAAACTTTTGTGTGTATGTTGTTTTTATAACTGACAATTTTTTAGGAAAGATTTATTTATTGACTTGGAATTCAGAGTTTACAGAGAGAAAGCGAGGTCTTCCATCCTTTGGTTTGCTTACTACATGGCTGCAAAGGTCAGGGCTGGGCCTGTCCAAAGCTAGGAGCCTGAAGCTTCTCCAGGCCTCCCATATGGGTGGCCAGGTGCCCATGCACTTGGGCTATCTTCCACTGCTTTTCCCAGGACATTAGCAGGGAGCAGCCAGGACTCAAGCAGGAGCCCATATGGGACAATTTTATAGAATTATGTCACTAGATACAATAGCTTGCCAGTTCTTAAGCCTGTGAAAGAATTTTCTTAATGAGTTAACCAGCATCTCCAGTTAATATTTTACACAATGGTGAACTTGCATCTTAGGAAAGATATTTGCTTCTATATTTTTGTTCTTATTAGCCACTGCACTGTTAGCAATCTTGTATTTTTTCTGGCTATCTAGTGTAAGTGTTCAATAGATGTTTAAGGGAACAAAGGGATGAGATATTTTTTCTTCTAAAGCAGGGTTGGGGCAATGTGGCCTTCGAGCTGTCTAAGGCCAGCTAAGTTCTTTGTTCTGGCCCTATCAAGGCACGGGCAGGTGGGACTGGAAATTCAGGATATCTGTAGCAGGTCAGCTTTTAAGTTGGTAATTTTGTGTGGCTTGGGGATGATGTTATAGTCAGATGGCCTTGGCAGAAAAAATGTTCCTCACCCTGTTCTCAGGATTCAAACTGAGAATAACTAGTGCCTCTTTGTGAGTTTATGGCTTTAGTATTTACAGATAACTGTGAAGGAACTAGATAACTAGGGCGGAACAGAACACATCAGCTAGGGTAGAGGGAAGCAAAGGTGATGTCTAGGATTCTCTAGTGTTAGGGAGTTTAATTTGTTTGGTATGAAAGGTAAAAAGTTCTTTGTTCATAATTTCTCACTCGTCAGTCATGGTGATTGTCATCTTTGCTCTCTGGAGATTAGAGAACGAATGAAAAATGTGGGTCCTGATTGCTTCCTCTGCTGCCTCTAAGTTGAATTTCTCTTTCTGTTAGATAACTGAGGAGATGATGGACCAGGCAAATGAGAAGAAAGGGGCTGCCATTGAAGCCCTAAATGATGGTGAGTCTTTTTCATTTTCTCTACTACCTTTCTTTAGTAGTCTGCATATTCTCCACTGCAGGAACCGTTGACTGGTGGGAAAGTGCAAGAAAATTTAGATTTACTGAGTATCTTACACTGGAGCAGATCGATGTCTTCTGTTAATGGAGGCCTCAAGGCATGGGCACATCCTGATCTTAATCAGTCTGCTTGCTTGACTGGGTCATAGTGTGTCTGTCTTTAAACTTTATTCATCTGAAAGAGTGAAGGGAGGTAGGGGGTAAAACATCTTGAAATTCTATGTTTGTCTTGTTTCCCCAAGAAAAATTGCTCTGGTTCTGTAGTATTGTTGGGTGAATGACTTCATTGACTAACTAACTCTGGAAAAGGCACTTGGCACAGCAGTTTTCTGGTGCCCACATTCACTATCAGAGATCTGGCTCCAAGTCCCAGCTCTGCTTACAGTTCCAGCTTCCTACTAATGGGCATCCCGAGAAGGCAGTGGGGGATGGCTCAAGTACTTGGGACTCTGGGAGACTTGGATCGAATTCCAGGCTCCTGGCTAAGAATTGGCCCAACACCAATTGTTTGGGGCATTTGAGGGGTGAACCAGTAGTTGGATGATCTCTCTCTCTCATTGCTTTTCAAGTAAAATGAAAATATGCATAAAGACAAAACAGTGGTGGGCTTTGGAGCATGGTGGGTTAAGCTGCTGCTTGGGACACCCACATTCCATATGAGAGTGCCTGGGACGTAGTCCTGCTTCCAGTGTGGCTCCCTGCCGATGCACCGGGGAAGCAGAGGGAGTTCTCCAAGGTTTGCTTTAAAGAGCTAATTTTGTGATATATATATGGGGGCGGGGGGGAGGGAGGGAGGACACTAAGCTTTTTTATAACTAAAAGAATTTAAAACACTTCAACTGGAAAAGAGATAAAAAATTTTTCTTAATTTTTATCCTCTTTTAAAAATGTATTTATTGGCCGGCGCCGTGGCTCAATAGGCTAATCCTCCACCTTGCGGCGCCGGCACACCAGGTTCTAGTCCCGGTTGGGGCGCCGGATTCTGTCCTGGTTGCCCCTCTTCCAGGCCAGCTCTCTGCTGTGGCCCAGGAGTGCAGTGGAGGATGGCCCAAGTGCTTGGGCCCTGCACCCCATGGGAGACCAGGATAAGTACCTGGCTCCTGCCATCGGATCAGCGTGGTGCGCCGGCCGCAGCGGCCATTGGAGGGTGAACCAACGGCAAAGGAGGACCTTTCTCTCTGTCTCTCTCTCTCACTGTCCACTCTGCCTGTCAAAAAAAAAAAAGAAAAAAAATGTTTTTATTTTGAAAGAGTTACAAAAAGAAACAGCCGCAACAGCCAGCACTAAGGCAGGCCAAACCAGGATCTTTTTCTGGGTCTCCCACGTGGGTGCCAAGGGCTCAAACACTTTAGCCATTCTCCACTGCTTTTCCCAGGCCATTAGCAAGGAGGTGGATCAGAAGTGGAGCAGCTGGGACACAAACCAGTGCCCATGCCCATATAGGTTGCCAGTGCCCCAGGTGACAGCTTTACCTGCTACGCTACAACGCCAGTCCCTGTTTTTATCTACTCAGTACCTTCTGTTTCACTTCAGGTGAACTGCAGAAAGCCATAGACCTGTTCACAGATGCCATCAAGCTAAATCCTCGCTTGGCCATTCTGTACGCCAAGAGAGCAAGGTGAGAGCTCTAAACAGCCAGCCATGCGCTGTGCTGGGGAATAATTCTTGCTCATTTGTTTAAATAAAATTCATTCTGTTGTGATCTCAAAGGTTTCATTTTATAGTTTGAAATGAATATTTTTAATATATCTCTTAGTGTCTTCGTCAAATTACAGAAGCCAAATGCTGCCATCCGAGACTGTGACAGAGCCATTGACATAAATCCTGATTCAGCTCAGCCTTACAAGTGGCGAGGGAAAGCACACAGGTAAATAATTGAAATTTTCAGAACTTTTAAAATTTAAATGTGATGTTTTAATATGCTTCATTTGGAGGGAAAAAATGCCTAAGGACTTCATTTCAAAGTGTCATGTATACTCAGTATGGAGACTGGAGAGAATATAAAGAACAAATAAGAAAATATTCTTTTCACTTCTTTAATCCAAAATAATAATTTTCAGCACATATAGCCAAGTGTAAGGTAAATTTTTTTTAATCTGAAAATTAGTTCCAAGAAAAAGTAACCTTGTATCAGTGTCCTTTACAGATTTTTCTTACTTTCGGACTTTCTCTTTGAAGCTTCACATTGAACAACCAATATATTCCAGAAGAAAGAATATAGTAGTCTGAAACTACTTTAGTCACCTCAAGGATCCCTGAAAAATCAGGAAAATGGGAAAATAAACTGGTGGATTTAACCTAGATACAGAAAGCTACATCACAACACTGGACTTCTCTGTGTTTTTGACACTGTTCTTCCACAGTCAAATCTTGTCCCCACTAATGTGCTTACTTGTATCATCCTGTTAGACACATAAAATTGTTTTATAATTTCCTTTGAAGATTTATTTATTTGAAAGTCAGAGTTAACTCAGAGAAGGAGAGGCAGAAAGAGAGGTCTTCATCCGCTGGGTCACTCCCCAGCTGGCTGCAGCGCTGGAGTGCAGGTGCAGGTCCTTGGGCCATCTTCTGCTTTCACAGGCCATAGCAGAGAGCTGGGATCGGAAGTGGAGCAGCCAGGTCTCAAACTGGCGCCCATGTAGGATCCTGCCATTGCAGGTGGCAGCTTTACCTGCTATGCCACAGCGCAGGCCCCCCGTAATTATAATATTTAAAAGCAGAATATCTGTTAAAGTGTGTGTGGTTTGGGGGCATTTCTTATCCTTAAAATATGTCCCACTTAAGATTTACAAGGAACCTGTTTTAAGAGTTTCTTAAAATTTTTTTAATGTACTTTTTGTTGTCAGTTTATACATACAGTTAAGTTATCCTCTTACTGAAGTTTGTATTCAGGTTTAGGGCTTTCCATCCTTTCTGATTTTTTTTCCAGTATGTAAAACACTCAAATTTGAGTCAAAGGTATACCCATAGTCCTCTCAATTCCATTGCTGTCTTCCTCTACCCCATTCTTAACTGTCCTTGCCAGCCTTTCCTTTCTGATTCATTTTTTGTCACTATTTTCAGTAAAGTATACCTACATACGTTATTTTTCCTTCTCTTGTACATCGTACATAGAAATCCGCATTCTAAATATAGATCATGTTAATACTGTTTCTAAGTACTTAAAAATATTTTTGTTTTCATTTTTTATTTGAAAGATAAAGAGGCAGATATCATCTGTCCACTGATTCACTCCCCAAATGCTCCAAAAACATTTGAGGCTGGGCCAGACTGAAGCCAGGAACGCAGGACTCAGTCTGGGTCTCTTCTGCGGGTGTTAGGGACCGCAGTCTTCAGCCATCGTTTTCTGCTTCCCAAAGTGCTCAGTAGCTGGCAGCTGAATAGGAAACCCAAGAACTGTGACTCAAACCCCGTTCTTTGATAAGGGATGTGGCTGTCCCAGGTGGTATCTTAACCATTATGCCAAAGACCCATCCTTAATCCTGTTGTTGTTGAGTTTGAAAGTTAGAACTACCTGCCCTTTTTTTTTTTTTTTTTTTAATTTATTTGAGTTGTAGAGAGCTCCATCTATTGGTTTGTTCCTCAAAAGTCTGGCCTAGTGCTGAAGGTGGGAGCAGGAAACAATCCAGGTCTCCCACTTGGGTGACAGGAACCCAGTTAGTTGAACCGTCACCCTACTGCCCAGATTCCTCTTCTGCAGTAAACTTCAATCAGCAGACTGAGAATTGACCTAGGCACTCTGATATTGTTATGTAATGTGGGTATCTTATTCAGCAGGCAAAGTGCCCACCCTTAAAATATGATTTTTTAGGGCCGGCGCCATGGCTCAATAGGCTAATCCTCCACCTTGCGGCGCCGGCACACCAGGTTCTAGTCCCGGTTGGGGCGCCGGATTCTGTCCCGGTTGCCCCTCTTCCAGGCCAGCTCTCTGCTATGGCCAGGGAGTGCAGTGGAGGATGGCCCAGGTGCTTGGGCCCTGCACCCCATGGGAGACCAGGAAAAGCACCTGGATCCTGGCTCCTGCCATCGGATCAGCGCGGTGCGCCGGCTGCAGCGGCGGCCATTGGAGGGTGAACCAACGGCAAAGGAAGACCTTTCTCTCTCTGTCTCTCTCTCTCACTGTCCACTCTGCCTGTCAAAAATAAAAAAAAAAATTTTTTTAAACGTAAAATTTTGTTTATTTGGAAGGCAGAGTGATAAAGGTGACGAGAAAGATTAGTCTTCCACCCATTGGTTCAGTCACCAAATGGCCACAATGGCTGGGGCTGGTCCAGGCCAAAGCCAGGAGCCTGGAACTCAATCTGGGTCTCTCACTTGGGTGGCAGTAGCTCAAGTACTTGGACCATCTGTTTTTCAGATGCTTTGACAGAGGAGCTGAGACTCAAACCAGCGCTTTGATTTGGGATGGCACACAGCAGCCTGCAGCGGAACTCACTGTGCCAGAATGCTGGCCCCTTATGGGGTGTTCTTAACATTTTCAGCGTGTGTGTGTTTAAAGCTTTTTTTTTTTTTTTTTTTTAAATCTAAGAGCAGCTTTATCAGTGTCATAGAGGAAAGTTAAACTCCTTCAAGTTTCCGTAGTGTTAATCAGCACTGTAACAGTAATTGAATTGATTGATGTTACAGAATATTTAACCACTTAAACTTGTCACAGTCTTTTTTTTGGGGGGGGGGGTGATTTATTTATTTGAAAGGCAGAGTTACAGAGAGAGAGGGACAGACAGAGGTCTTTCATCTGCTCCTACTCCCCAAAGTGGCTGCAACAGCCAGTGCTGGATTAAGCTGAAGCTAGGAGCTTCTTCCAGGTCTCCCACATGGGTGCAGGGGCCCAAGAACTTGGACCATCTGCTGCTGCTTTTCCCAGGCCATAGCAGAGAGCTGGATCAGAAGTGGAGCAGCCGGGACTCAAACTGGCATCTATCTAGGATACTGGCGCAGCAGGCAACAGCTTAACCTGTTAGGCCACTGTGCTGGTCCCCCATAGTCCTGTTTTATAAGGAAGCGAGACACCAAGCTACGTAGATACATATTGTAATGTCTGATGTCTACTGTAATGTAATAGGTACATATTGTAAATGTCTCCTAAGTGCGTTTAAATCTGTTTCAGACTTCTGGGCCACTGGGAAGAAGCCGCCCATGATCTGGCCCTTGCCTGCAAACTGGATTATGATGAAGATGCCAGTGCAGTGCTGAAGGAAGTTCAACCCAGGGTATGTTACAGGCGGCAAGGAGTCGTCATGGCTGTAATACTGCATACTTCTGGCACTTACGCCCTGGCAGCCATAAATTACCTGAAAAACAGGTGCAAAGAAATACACATTGGCAAGTTGTGGTCTGGGACCACTGAAGCTTACTCAGCTCTGGAAGTCTCGTTAGGTCTGCATGCTTTCCTTTCTTGTGCTGTATGGTAGAGAGTCCACTGTGAGACCACAGTGTAATTACAACCAGAAAGTCAGAAATGAAAGACTACCTGGTAACAACAAGGACAGAAAAGGGAAAAAAATCTATAAAATGTGACCCTAGGTTTGAGCCTGGGCTGTCCTTGTATACTTTGAAGGTATATTTGTCCACTTTGGAAGTTCCGTTTCAACCTTGTAAAAATACTGAGTCCAAAAACTAGAACTACTTTTTTTTTTTTAAACCACTCTGCCTTATGCTTGTTAAAGGTTTGGGTCTCATGCTTTTAGAGGTTTATTTATTTGAAAGGCAGAATTAGAGAGCAAGAGGGGGAGAGAGCTTCTGAATACTAGTTCACTCTCCAAATGGCCACAGTAGTCGAAGCCAGGAGCCTGGAACTCCATCTGGGTCTCCCAGGTGTTGCAGGGATCCAAGCACTTGGGTCATCTTCTATTACTTGCCTAGGCATGTTAGCAGGGAGTTGGATCTGATGTGGAGCAGCCAGAGTTTGCAGTGCCCATATGGGATGTCAGCATTGCAGGCATCTGTGTACCTGTTGTGCACAGTGGAAACCCCTAGAACATTCCATTTTAAGATAATCTCTATCTAAAATAATTAGTTAAAATTATTTTAAGTATACATGGTAAATCCTTCGGCTTTGTTGGAAGTTACACTTCCAGGAATTTGTTACCAAAGGTTTTAGCACAGTGGAAGTCTTACTGAATTAATTTATTACCACTGGAGACTTCAGTTGATTTTCTTTTCCTTCTCATAACAAGGCTTAAGTGGGCCAGGTTGTACAAGATATTAATAATAGTTCGAACAAGCTAAAAGAACAATTGAATACAAGTCCCTTATACTTATTTTATTCTCCTAATAAATGAGAGATCCACAGCATTCCGTACAATATATGATGCCTTTTATGTGTTTACATATGTTTTCCTTAATCCCCATAGGGATTTGATAAGAGTATGTGTGTGTCTTCCTCTGTTTTATGGATAAAGAAACTTAAATGCAGCAAGATTGGCAAATAGCTGTGTGTCCAGTCTCCGCCTTCTCATGGTGGAATCACTGGTGATCGCTTCTGCAGCCCTGGGCTATAACTTCTGCATCCGTACACTGTGCAGCTGTAGAAACTCTGAGCAAGTGTTGTCTTGCTATTTGAATTTGCTAATGTTGAGTGAGCATAGTTACTTGTTTGATAATCTTTGTCTCTGATTTCACATTCTAGAATCTTTTTAACAGTGCTTTGTACAGTTGGGATTGGTCTTGTTAAAGCCTGAGTTTATATCAGGTGGTTTTCTGTCTTTTTCCCCCCTTAGTTTTTTTTTTCCTCCTTTGTTTGTTGGTTTTTAAGATTTACTTACTTAGTTGAAAGGCAGAGTTACAGAGAGTGAGATGTCTTCCATCTGCTGGTTCACTCCCCAAATGGCCCCAGTGGCCAGAGTTGGGTCAGTCCAAAGCCAGGAGCCAGGAACTACCCAAGACAGCCCTGTGGGTACAGGGGCCCAAGTTCTTGAGCCATTCCTTTGCTGCTTTCCTAGTCACATTACCAGAGAACTGGATCAGAAGTGGAGCAGCTAGGACTCAAACCAGTGCCCGTGTGTGTGAGACGCCGGCACCACTTTACCTGTTACACCAGAGGACCGGTCCCTGCTTTTTTTTTTTTTTTTTTTCAAAGATGTATTTATTTATTTGAAAGGCAGAGAGACAGGTGTCTTCCATCTGCTGGTTCACTCCCCAGATGGCTGCAATGGCTGGAGCTGAGCCTGTACAAAGCCAGGAACCAGGAGCTTCTTCCAGGTCTCCCACGTGGGTTCAGGGGCCCAAGCACTTGGACCATCTTCTGCTTTCCCATAGCAGAGAGCTAGATTGGAAATGGACTTGAACCATCATGCATATGGAATGCCGGCACTGCAGGCAACAGCTTTACCTGCTGTGCCACAGCACCGGCCCCCAGAAAAGGAACTCTTAACAAAGCTGTTCAGTTGACCTTACTACTTTTGGAGCAGACTTAATTTTCTGTGGCTCTTTTTATCTAGGCCCAGAAAATTGCAGAACATCGGAGAAAGTATGAGCGAAAACGTGAAGAACGAGAGATCAAAGAAAGAATGGAAAGAGTCAAGAAGGCTCGAGAAGAGCATGAGCGCGCCCAGAGGGTAACGTTTCTGGAGTCCAAGCTGGGACGGAGAGGCTGACGCAGTAGACCGTGGAGCTTGCGATGCTGCTTTGAGTCTTGCTCCTGTGATTAATGCAGACTGCAGTTCTGCAGAACTGAGGATACTACTTAAAGTCTTTCTCTTGACTGTGTCTAGCTTCTGTGGAGATATTTTTAAGTCTTCAGATTCTAAGTGTGCTTGTATTTTACCATCTTAAATTCTTGTTCATGTTCATCTAGAATCAGGAATTCTTCCTGGTCAAGTAATTAAAAATTTGGCCATAGTTTTTTTTTTTTTTTTTTTTTTTTTTTTTGAGAATGCTTGCCTTAATGAGTTTTATGATTTCTCCTGTTCCAACAATAGGTTCATAAGTATTAAAAATAGATTTCATATATTTAGTTATAAAGTCCTGTTGTATATAGAAATTACAAAAGGGATTGTCCCCAATCCTTTTGTAATATTGTTCCTGCTCTTAAATTGCTCCCAGTTTTTGCCTGTATTTACTTTGTAGGTTTATTCTGTCAATTTTCACTTAATGTGTTTCTAGCATTGTTGAATGAAAGATGTAATGCTGTAGTATAATTTCATAACATTAACACCTAGGGTTTATTTATTTATTTATTTTTATTTTTATTTATTTATTTGACAGGTAGAATTAGAGAGAGAGAGAGAGAGAGAGAAAGATCTTCCTTCCCTTGGTTCACCCCCCAAAATGGCCACCACAGCCGGCACTGCGCCAATCTGAAGCCAGGAGCCAGGTGCTTCTTCCTGGTCTCCCATGCAGGTGCAGGGACCCAAGCACCTGGGCCATCCTCCACTGCCTTCCCAGGCCACAGCAGAGAGCTGGACAGGAAGAGGGGCAACTGAGACTAGAACCCACCACCCATATGGGATGCCGGTGCCGCAGGTGGAGGATTAACCAAGTGAGCCATGGCACCGGCCCCAGTTTTTTATTTATTAAACATCATATTTGATTTTTAAGGTTATACTTTGTAATCTTTAAAAGTAATTTTTGGCCAGCGTCGCGGCTAAATAGGCTAATCCTCTGCCCGTGGCACCAGCACACTGGGTTCTAGTCCAAGTCAGGGCGCCAGATTCTATCCTGGTTGCCCCTCTTCAGTCCAGCTCTCTGCTGTGGCCCAGGAGTGCAGTGGAGGATGGCCCAGGTGCTTGGGCCCTGCACCCCATGGGAGACCAGGAGAAGCACCTGGCTCCTGGCTTCAGATCAGCGCAGTACGCTGGCCGCAGTGCGCCAGCCGCAGCGGCCATTGGAGGGTGAACCAACGGTAAAGGAAGACCTTTCTCTCTCTCTCTCTCTCACTGTCCACTCTGCCTGTCAAAAAAATAAAAAATAAAATTTTTATGTTTAGCTCATTAATAGTATTGTATTTTGCTGTGAGGTAAATTTTTATCCTCCCTTTTGTCTTTATAAAACTCCAAAAACAAATCTGTAAGTCTCTTAGAGTTTTGTTAGGGAAAGTGTAGAAAAGGTGAACATCTGATACAAATGTCATAGCAGTCTTAGTAATAAGTCCTGTCCTTTAGTTTGACATTTTAAAAATATTAAGTTTAAAATTTTACAGGGCGTATCATTACTATAAATTGCTTCTCCAGTTTTGTTCATTTTCTAGGGTAAAGTACTCTCCCTAAAATCATTGCTCATTAATACTCATTGTGGACCTAATTAGAAAATTTATTATTCAGTATTGTGAATTGAAATGTGTCGTTCTTGTTAAGTCCTTTACTAGCTTATTTTACAACTTTTTAAAGAGATTTTTCATAGATAATGTTAAGGGATGACATTACTTTTTCCTCTTACTATATAATTTATTTCTTTTTTGTATTAAAGGAGGAAGAAGCCAGACGACAATCAGGAGCTCAGTATGGCTCTTTTCCAGGTACATTTAAAGAAAAATTAAGGCTGTTACTGTTGTAAATAATTTTTTTAAAGATTTATTTACTTATTTGAAAGAGTTACACAGAAAAAGAGAGGCAGAGAGAGGTTGGTCATTCCATCTGCTGGTTCACTCCCCAGTTGGCTGCAACGGCTGGAGCTGCGCTGATCCGAAGCCAGGAGCTTCTTCCAGGTCTCCCATGCGGATGCAGGGCCCCAAGGACTTGGGCCATCTTCTACTGCTTTCCCAGGCCACAGCAGAGAGCTGGACTGGAAGTGGAGCAGCCAGGTCTTGAACTAGCAGCCATATAGGATGCCAGCACTGCAGGCGGCAGCTTTACGCTCTATGCTACAGCTCTGGCCCTGTAAATAATTAAGATGTATTCTGATTTGGAGATGGAGCAAAAGAGTATTCTCAATTCAAATGCATTTGGTAACATAAGTTCCTGGAACATTAGAAAGGTTTGTTTCCATTAGAAACTTTGTTAGTGGGACTAGTGTTTTCTTCCTTTTCAAACAACAGTTTGAGTTGTATTAAAAAATTGCGAGGGAGACTTCCCATCTGCTTGTTTACTCCACAGATGCCCACAGTGGCTGGGGCTGGCCAAGGGGAGGAACCGCTATCTCTGATGTGAATGACAGGACCCAGTTACTTCAGCCATCACTACCACCTCCCAGGGTCTGCATTAGCAGGAAGTTGGAGTTAGAAGCCTGAAATGGATTTTGAATCCCTGTGGTCTGACAGGGAATACAGACATCTTTTAATTTTTTGACAGGCAGAATTAGTGAGACAGAGAAAAAGGTCTTCCTTCCGTTGGTTCACTCCCCAAATGGCCTCAACGGCCAGAGCTGTGCTGATCCGAAGCCAGGAGCCAGGTTCTTCCTCCTGGTCTCCCATGCGGGAGCAGGGCCCAAGCACTTGGGCCATCCTCCACTGCTTTCCCAGGCCACAGCAGAGAGCTAGACTGGAACCCGGCGCCCATATGGGATGCCGGCGCCACAGGCGGAGGATTAACCAAGTGAGCCACGGCGCCAGCCCCAGAATACAGACATCTTAACCGGTCTTAACTGCTTGCCCCTGCATTCTATACTTTTTATTACTTATGGGAGCCTGAACAATGTGCTTTATTATATGTAAATAAATAAGTTATTATGGTGTAATTAAGTATTTCTGCACTGAATAATGGAATTTCTGCTGCTTTATACAGTGATATTCATGAAGATAGTGCACTGGATAGAATGGGAATTCTGAGGCCGGCGCCGCGGCTCACTAGGCTAATCCTCTGCCTTGTGGCGCCGGCACACCGGGTTCTAGTCCCGGTTGGGGCGCCAGATCCTGTCCTGGTTGCCCCTCTTCCAGGCCAGCTCTCTGCTGTGGCCCAGGAGTGCAGTGGAGCTGGCCCAAGTCTTTGGGCCCTGCACTCGCATGGGAGACCAGGAGAAGCACCTGGCTCCTGGCTTCGGATCAGCAAGGTGCGCCGGCCGCAGTGTGCCGGCCGCGGCGGCCATTGGAGGGTGAACCAACAGCAAAAGGAAGACCTTTCTCTATGTCTCTCTCTCTCTCACTGTCTACTCTGCCTGTCAAAAAAAAAAAAAAAGGGAATTCTGTTAAAAATACTTTTTTTTTAAGATTTATTTACTTATTTGAAAGGCATAGCAACAGAGATGTTTCTTTTTCTTTTCTTTTTTTTTTCTTTTTTGTTTTTTTGTTTGTTTGTTTGTTTTTTATGGACAGGTAGTTATAGACAGAGAGATACAGAAAGATCTTCCCTCCATTGGTTCACTCCCCAAATGGCTGCTACGGCCGATGCTGTGCCGATCTGAAGCCAGGAGCCAGGTGCCTCCTCCTGGTCTCCCATGCAGGTGCAGGGCCCAAGCACTTGTGCCATCCTCCACTGCCTTCCCGGGCCACAGCAGAGAGCTGGACTAGAAGAGGAGCAACTGGGACTAGAACCGGCACCCATATGGGATGCCGGTGCCGCAGGTAGAGGATTAACCAAGTGAGCCACGAGCGCTGGCCCCAGAGAGATGTTTCATCCTGTGGTTCACTCCTCAAATGGCCACAACACTCAAGGCTGAACCAGGTCAAAGCTAGGAACTAAAAGCTCCATCTGGCTCTCTGTTGGGAATGGTAAGGCCCAAGTTCTTGGACCATCTTGCATTGGTTTCTCAGACACAGTAGGAGCTGGATGAGAAGTGGAGCAGCTGGGGCTCAAACCAGTGCCCATGGATAGATACTGGCATCGCAGGCAGCAGCTTCACCTGCTGTGCACAACTCAGGCCCCTGATGCTGTTTTAAGAAAAGCCAAGAAAATAAATTTTAGTTCCTAGCTTATTTCTTATTTAAAATAGAAATAATCGTATTTGTCAAGTACCTTTGTTTTTAAAAAATGACCACTAGGGTTGAGTGTTTGGTGACAGAGCAGTTAAGATGCCACAAGTGATATCCACATCCCGTATCTGAGGGCCTGGGTTCAAGTTCTGGCTCCATTTCTGATTCCAGCTTCCTGCTCATGCACACCTGGGAAGCAGCTGGGATAACGGAAGTACTTGGGTCCCTGCTACATGGGGGTTGAGTTCTGGGCTCTTGGCTAGCCCAGCTATTGTGGCCATGTAGGAAGTGCATCAGCAGATGGAGGATGCTTGTCTTACTGTCGTGCCCACCCCAGCCCTACTCGGCTTTCAAGAAAAGGAAAATTGTTGAAAACAATTCCAAACAATTGTGGAATGGTACTAGAGATGATTATTACGTACTTTTTATTATCTAGATTTAAAAAACCTTGAACTGCTTGTTTAACAGTAGGAATTAATTTTTTGAAGCCTGTAGTCAGGTAATCCTGAAGTTGTTTTCAAGTCTCCCTAGATTTGCATTCACTTTTGACAGTTACAGTCATGTGTGAACTATTGTGGAGTCTGGTGTAATGACCATATTACTATGACACTACATATATGTGGTGGTGCTTGATCTTGCAGAATACATCAGTATCACTTGTCTCTCCCTTCAGGATGCCCCTATATTTAGCATAATGAATTCCAGAATATTGCCAATGGAGATGCACATTTATGGTAGTAAAGAAATACAACAGGAAATAATTTGGATTTATTATCTGACTATACTGGGAGAATGAAATACTATTTATTAGAACAGTGTCTAACGAAAAAGTGGGTTTCTACTTTCATTTCAGAAATGTTGATTATCGTTGGGAAAAATGAGAAATCCACAAATTTCATAAAAAGCATTTTAGGTAGTTCTTGAAGGAATAACTGCTCTGCAGCAAACATAGTCAGAATTTAAAAACTACAGTAAACTTGTATGAATTATCTTTAAAAAGGATACTGTTCAAAAATGAGGAGTATGTACTGGCATCTCATGGGCACCAGTTCTAGTCCTGGCTGCTTCTCTTCCGATCCAGCTCTCTGCTGTGGCCTGGGAAAGCAGTAGAGGGTGGCCCAAGTGCTTGGGCCCCTCCCTGCACCCACATGGGAGACCATGAAGAAGCACCTGGCTCCTGGCTTCGGATCGGTGCAGCTCCAGCCGTTGAGGCCATTTGGGGAGTGAACCAACGGAAGGAAGACCTATCTCTCTCTGTCTCTCCCTCTCACTGTTTCTCTGCTTCTCAGATAAATAAATAAAAATCTTCAAAAAGTGGGGGCGGGGGCCGGCACTGGGGTATAGCAGACACAGCTGCTGCCTACAGTACCGGTATCCCATTTGGGCGCCGGTTCAACACCTGGCTGCTCCACTTCCGATCCAGCTCTCTGCTGTGGCCTGGGAAAGCAAAAGATAGCCCAAGTCCTTGGACCCCTGCACCCACATGGGAGACCCGGAAGAAGCTCCTGGCTCCTGGCTTTGGATCAGTGCAACTCCAATCGTTCCATTGCAGCCATTTGGGGAGTGAGCCAGTGAGTGGAAGACCTCCCTCTTTCTCTCTTTTTCTTTCTCCCTCTCCTTCTCTCTGTGTAACTCTTCCAAGTAAAAATCTTAAAAATTGAGGAGTAGATATTAAAGATCAACATGACTGACAATTTAATTTTACAGTTCAGAGGGACTATTGATTGCCTTTTTTTTTTTTTTTTTTTTTTTAAAGATTTTTACTTATTTGAGGCCGGCGCCGCAGCTCACTAGGCTAATCCTCCGCCTTGCGGCGCCAGCACACTGGGTTCTAGTCCCGGTCGGGGCGCCGGATTCTGTCCCGGTTGCCCCTCTTCCAGGCCAGCTCTCTGCTGTGGCCAGGGAGTGCAGTGGAGGATGGCCCAAGTGCTTGGGCCCTGCACCCCATGGGAGACCAGGATAAGTACTTGGCTCCTGCCATTGGATGAGGATCAGCGTGGAGTGCCGGCCGCAGCGCGCCAGCCGCGGCGGCCACTGGAGGGTGAACCAACGGCAAAGGAAGACCTTTCTCTCTGTCTCTCTCTCTCTCTCTCACTCTCACTGTCCACTCTGCCTGATCAAAAAAAAAAAAAAAAAAAAAAAAAGATTTTTACTTATTTGAGAAATAAGAGCTACTGACAGTGAGAGGGAGAGACAGAGAGAGGTCTTCAGTCTCCCGGTTCACTCCCCAAATACAATGGCTGGAACAGTGCCAATCCAAAGCCAGGAACCAGGAGCTTCTTCCAGGTCTCCCACATGGGTGCATGTGCCCAAGCACTTGGGCCATATTCCACTGCTTTCCCAGGCCATAGCAGACAGCTGGATTGGAAGAGGAGCAGCCAGGACTCGAACCGGCACCCATATGGGATGCCAGTCCCGCAGGCAAAGTGTTAACCTGTGCGACAGCACCAGCCCCTTGTTGCCTTCTTTAACATCATTTTCTTTGGCACTTTTTTTTTTTTTGGACAGGTAGAATTAGTGAGAGACAGAGAAAGGTCTTCCTTCCATTAGTTCATCCCCCCAAATGGCTGCCACAGCCGGCACTGTGCCGATCTGAAGCCAAGAGCCAGGTGCTTCCTCCTGGTCTCCCGTGCGGGTGCAGGGCCCAAGCACTTGGGCCATCCTCCACTGCCTTCCTGGGCCACAGCAGATTGCTGGACTGGAAGAGGGGCAACCGGGACAGAATCCGGGGCCCCAACCGGGACTAGAACCCGGTGTGCCGGCGCCGCAGGCGGAGGATTAGCCTAGTGAGCCGCAACGCCGGCCTGTTTGGCAGTTTTATTAGGAAAACATGAATCCAGAAGGTTAGTAAAGTCTCATTTACAGCCTTATTTTTAAGAGAAAATTAGAAGTTAAAAATTCAGTGGCCCTTTGGTTCTCTATACCCGTGTGTGTGTGTGTGTGTGTGTGTGTGTGTGTGTGTGTGAAGACTATTTGAGAGTACCTTTGGTTTCTGTACATTTTGGTTCTCTGTACGCGCGTGTGTTTTTGTGTGTCAGACTATTTGAGAGTATGGTTTCTGTACACTTTGGTTCTCTGTACACATGTGTGTGTGTGTGTCAGGCTATTTGAGAGTGTGTCTGGCCTCTGTACACTTTGATTATTCTTGCAGGTGGCTTTCCTGGGGGGATGCCTGGAAATTTTCCTGGAGGAATGCCTGGAATGGGAGGGGCCATGCCTGGAATGGCAGGAATGCCTGGCCTCAATGAAATCCTTAGTGATCCAGAGGTTCTTGCAGCCATGCAGGTAAGATCTTTGAACTTTATATTATATATATTTTTTAAAGATTTATTTATTTGAAAGGCACAGAGGCAGAGAGAGATCTTCATCCACTGGTTCACTCCCCAAATGGCCATAACCACCAGAGCTGGGCTGATGAGGAGCCAGGAGCTTCTTACCTGCACTGACAGTGCAGGGGCCCAAGCATTCGGGCCATCTTTTTCTGCTTTCCCAGGCCATAGCAGAGAGCTGGATTGTAAGTAGAGCCAGCCAGGTCTTGAACTTGAGGCCCTATGGGCTGCTGGCACTCCAGGCAGCAGTTTTATGTGCTATGCCACAGTGCTGCTCCCCCTGTTATTATATTTAAGGTATTTCTTTGATAGTTCTTCGTGGAGTAGAGGTCATTCTCAGTCATTGTTGGTTTTCAGTTGTTGTTTTTAAGATTTATTTAAAAGAGTTACAGAGAGGGAAAGAGATCTTCAATCCACTGGTTCACTTCCTACATGGATGGCAAGTGCTCAAATTGTGGGCCATCCTCCACTGCTTTTCCCATGCCATTAGCAGAGAGCTAGATGGGAAGTGGAGCAGCTGAGAGTTGAACCAGCCTCCATATGGATGCTGGTGTTGTAGGTGGCAGCTTTACCCGCTTCACTGCAACGCCAGCCCCAGCCATTGTTTTCTTACCAGTTGCCAGACAGTTAATTTTGCAGGTGTGACAATTTCATTTTTTCAGAATGAGTTGGTTTTATTGTTTGTTTAAAAATTTTACTTTTTATTTATTTGAAAAGCAGAGTTACATAGAGAGGTGGGAGAGAGAGGTCTTTGATCCACTGGTTTGCTTCTCAGATGGCTGCAACAGCCAGGGCTGGACCAGGCCAGAGCCAGGAGCCAGGAGCTTCTGCTAGTCTCCCACATGGGTGCAGGGGCCCAAGCACTTGGGCTGTCTTCTGCTTTCCCGGGTGCCTTAGCGGGGAGTTATTTAGGAAGTGGAGCAGCACTTATATGGGATGCTGGCACTACAGATGGCAGCTTAACCTGCTGGCACACAGAGGTCTCCTCTGTGTGGATATACTGTTTTTTCATGTTCCAGTTAAAGTGGCACAGCTGAGCTTTACTTTCTTGAAGTGTGCATTAATATTTACACTTCAGGAAGTTGCCTAAACCCCAGCTAACTTAGCAATGATAGAATTGCACGTCTAAACAGCTGGCAATAGAATAATAAACTTGTTCCCTGAACAAGACACTTTTTAAAAATCTAAAAGAGAGGCTGGCACCGTGGCTCACTAGGCTAATCCTCCGCCTGCGGCGCCGGCACCCCAGGTTCTGGTCCCAGTTGGGGCGCTGGATTCTGTCCCGGTTGCTCCTCTTCCAGTCCAGCTCTCTGCTGTGGCCCCGGAGGGCAGTAGAGGATGGCCCAAGTGCTTGGGTCCCTGCACCCACATGGGAGACCAGGGTAAGTACCTGGCTCCTGGCTTCAGATCGGTGCAGTGCTGGCCATGGCGGCCATTAGGGGAGTAAACCAATGGAAGGAAGACCCTTCTCTCTCTCTGTCTCTCACTATCTGTAACTCTTTCTCTCTCTCTCTCTCTCTCTCACTGTCTACCTTTGCCTTTCAAAAAAAAAAAAAAAAAAATCTAAAAGAGAAACCAACTCTCCACCCCTCCCTCCTTTTTTTCAGGATCCAGAAGTTATGGTGGCTTTCCAGGATGTGGCCCAGAACCCTGCAAACATGTCGAAATACCAGAGTAACCCCAAGGTTATGAATCTTATCAGTAAATTGTCAGCCAAATTTGGAGGTCAAGCATAATGCCCTTCTGACAAAGCCCTTGCTGAAGGAAAAGCAGCCCAGATCACCTAATGGATGTCGCAATAATACAAACCAGTGTACCTCTGACCTTCTCATCAGAGAGCTGGGGTGCTTCGAAGATAATCCCTACCCCTCTGCACCAAATGCAGCTGAAGCATTTGACAGTGGTTTGTCATTAGGGTATTCATTCAGATAATGTTTTCCTACTAGGAATTACAAACTTTAAACTTTTTAAACCTTAAAAATGTTTAAAACAAATTAAAAAGGGTGTTAATTCCTCCATTTTTCTTTGCTAATCATTTTGAGTTTTTTTCCTTTGAATAATTGGGCGAGGAAGATACATAAGTACAGAAGATTTATTGCTCTAGTGTGAGTGAAATAAAGGTTAGTAGTTGGCAGCATATATAACTCATTTAAATAGATGAAGGTTTAGTTGGATATATGGTTACTGAGGCATTTTGATTTGTCCTTAAATGCTTTATTTTTCAAAAATAAAGTGATTTATTTCAATAAAACTTGGGACCACCAGTATTTCTGTAGGACCTGGGTAGGGACTGGAAGCACTTGGCAGGGCAGTGGCAGTCTTACCATGTTTTATATGACACGCACCCTTGAGCAGATTACACTGAAATCTCACACTCTGGTGAGGGGATGATTCTTTTGTAATGCTGCAGTAGTGTTGGATTACTTAGCTCTGTTCTTGTCCAATATATCAAATAAATGCTTCATATTATTTCCACAGATAAAATACAGGAGTACTTTTCTTGTTATATTTCTGTGTTTAAGATTACCTTTCCTGATCAAAAACTTCTAAACTCTGTGTCCATTTTCTGTTTGTCATATTTTTCCTCATAATCTTCTTGAGCTCAAGATTTTTCACTAGCAGCCTCACAACTGTCATTATTCACATTGTGATTGTGCAGGCATATTTATGCTGGGTTCAATGTGATATGTAGTATATACAGTGGTTGTAGAGTAATGCCCTTAACAGCTGTGATTTCATACTTGGCATGAGATCACCTGGTGAACTGCTTTCTGGCAAAAGGTTTTATCTGGAGACATTAGAAGAAGGGACTCCCTTGAGTATTTAGTCCTCTGCTTAATTACCTGTTACAGTTTGAGTTCATCTTGTGGTATTCACCTCCATGTTTCGAATAATGTTAAGGTTTGAGTTACTTGCTATGAGGGGAGCTGATCTCTTGACCCATCATCGAGTTGTAACACAATTGAGAGCCAGAGTTAATCATGACTTATTTCCTGAGGAGCCATTATCTTCCTATGCAAGCTTTTCCTTAAACAACGCAGCCACAGTGCCACCTCTGCTTTCTCTCCTTCCTTCTGCAAAGATAAAATGAGAATAAATTCCATGGAGTACGTTTCTGAAATGGTACTCTTCTGAAATCATAAGTCTTTTCAGGTTGTTACTAAGAAAAAGTTGTGTGCTAATAGAGCATGTTTTTTATAAATCTCTTAAAAACACTAAATTTGAATTTGGGTTTGCTGGTGTTTTTTTGTTAATTTGTGTTCTTTCCTAAAACTTACAGTGTGTGCTTTGCTTAATTCAAGAGCAGTTTAATCTGGATTCCTTACTTGATTTTCTAAATTGTATATTACCTGAGTATATTCTAGTATTTCAATATCAGCATAAACAGGAAAAAGTAAACTTGTTCTTCTGGAACCGTGTCATGTGCTTTCAGACTTGTAAATTCCACATATGTGAAATTGTCTTCAGTTCCATCAAGATTGTTACCACTTCTAAACCAAACCAGAAACATTCCTATTCCTTTCTTGTGCTACTGATGCTGTAAATCAAGAAAAAGGGATATTTTTTCTACTTAAAATTACGATTATTGGATATCTCTAGCTACATTAAAATACAGTTTCAAGCTGCTTGCTGACTTCCCTCCCCCCTTTTTTCCACATTGTCTATTTTATGTCTGCATAGTAGACTACAGATGAGGAAGTGTTACCAAGGACCCCTCAAGAAACACTGGCTTTAGTAAAGTAGCTGTTTGCTTTTCTTAGTGGTACCTGTCTAAAGTTGAGCAATTTTGCAATAGTTGAGACGGCAGCTCCAATTCTTGAGTCCAGAGCTGTTGGCTCTGGCACTCTTCCTGCAGCCCGAGGAAACAGGAGAGAGGTGGTCAGGACAGCTTCTGAGGCTGGAAGGTGGAATTAACATTTCATGACTTCTCATGTCCTGTTGGTTGTACTTAGTTGAAAGGAAAGATGGGAAGTATGTAGTCCATAGTTGTGTGGTTATGTGGCCAACAACAACAAGAAAAATTGGAAGAAAAGCCTTGGAATGACAGTCTGCCATACCAGCAAATACTGGTATGATGGTGAAGGAGAAACAACTTCCACGTTGCTGATAGCTAAAACTAAAGCACTTGAGTATGCACAGCTGTAAAGCAGGTAGCAAATAGTCTATGCCAGGGACTATTTGCCAGTCTTGTCTCAGCTGTGTTAATGACCAAGGGTAAGTACCCCTGTTACCACTTCCCCATTGTATGGGTGAGTACTTGTAGCACTCACTCAAGTCAATTACCTGTGATAACACAGCTGAGTATTTGTAAAGCCTGGATTCCTGGGCTGCTTGGTTCAGAGGTCTTTCTCTTAAACTCTTTTATCTTTTTTTTTTTTTTTAAGACTTATTTATTTTATTTGAAAGAGTTACACAGAGAAGCAGAGAGAGGTCCTCCATCCAATGGTTCACTCCCCAGTTGGCTGCAACAGCTGGAGCTCACCGATCTGAAACCAGGAGCCAGGAGGTAGGTTCCTCTGGGTTTCCCACGTGGGTGCAGAGGCCCAAGGACTTGGGCCATCTTCTACTGCTGTCCCAGGCCATAGCAGAGAGCTGGATTGGAAGTGGAGCAGCCAGGTCTCGAACCAGCACCCATATGGGATGCTGGCATTTCAGGCCAGGGCATTAACCTGCTGAGCCACAGCGCCGGCCCCTTCTAAGGTTGATATTTGCTCAGTTGCAAACTGAAATGTGCATTTGGATTGAATTAGACAAGGAGTATTACTCATCTGCCTGTGCTGATAGATACAGCTAACAGGTTTTCTAATAGTAAGGGACAGATAGTATAATTCAAGTGCACAGTCCATTTGCCTAGAAATAAGGACAAGAAAAAATATTCAAAAATAATAGGAATTCTGAGTAACGGTGTATGTCAATATTTACAACCAGTACAGTATACTTAGGTCATATGAATTCAGTTTGTGGAGGAAAATAGCCAAATAATAAAGAGTATTTTTTTTTTTTTTTGACAGGTAGAGTGGACAGTGAGAGAGACAGAGAGAAAGGTCTTCCTTTTTGCCATTGGTTCACCCTCTAATGGCCGCTGCAGCTGGTGCGCTGCGGCCGGCACACCGTGCTGATCCGAAGCCAGGAGCCAGGTGCTTCTCCTGGTCTCCCATGGGGTGCAGGGCCCAAGCACTTGGGCCATCCTCCACTGCACTCCTGGCCACGGCAGAGAGCTGGCCTGGAAGAGGGGCAACCGGGACAGAATCCGGCGCCCCGACCAGGACTAGAACCTGGTGTGCCGGCGCCGCAAGGCAGAGGATTAGCCTAGTGAGCCGCGGCGCCGGCCAAAAGTAATAATTGTTAAACCTTTTTCTTTAGATTATTTTAAGGGAGAGTTAAAGACATCCTCCATCTGCTGGTTCACTCCCCAAATGGCTGCAATAGCTGGGACTGGGCAAGGCTGAAGCCAGGAGCTTGGAAGTCCACATGTGTCTCACATGGTGGCAGAGGCCCACTATTTGGGCCATCAGGTACTTTCCCAGGCACATTAGCAGGGAGCTAGATCAGAAGTGGAGTAATCATGATGTGAACCAGCACTCACAGATTCCAGTGTCATAGGCTCTGGTTTAAACTGCTGGGCCACAATGTAGTCGGGCCCTTAAGCCTCCCCCCCCTCCTTTTGCATACTTATTTGAAAGGAAGAATAAAGAGGAAGGAAGCAGTAGACAAAATGAGGGGGACATCTCCCAATCTACTGGTTCACTCCCCCAAATGACTGCAACAGCCAGGACTGGGCCAAGCAGAAACCAGGAACTCTAATCCATCATCTCCCACATGGGTGCACTTGGGGCACCGTCTGCCTTCCCAGGCGTATTAACAAGGAAGCTAGATGGAAAGCAGAGTAGTCAGGACTCTTAAAATAGGGATGGCATTGCTAAGCTTTTGCAAATTTAAACAATGGTATGTGACGTTGGGAAGAGCTTTAAAAATTTCAGCAATAATTTAGTGAGACCTTTTATAGAATGCTGTTGAGAGTGTAAATTGATGATTTTCTGCAAAGTTTAGCAATAATGAAAATTTTGATTTGAAATAATTTAAAAATTAGGGTCTGGGTATTGAATCTAGAAAAGTGAAGAAATAATATAAGTGGTACTCTTGAGGATCTAGGCATCATAAATAATAGCTTAAATTTTTAGGACATTTTTGGATTGCAGTGTAGGTAACCTAGCTACAGGCTGACACGGAAGCAGCATAAACAAAATGCCAGTAATAAGCTTGCTGTAACTGTATTGTCAGCATGAGTACATAGAATGGCCCTAAATTTTCAGTATACTCTAATGTCAAAGGACTTGATGCTTCAGTAATACAGAGCCCTCAATACATAATTAGGAACACTATAATGGACGTGGAAGTGAATATTTAGAATGAGGAAGTGAGAATTCTCAAAAATAAGTGTCTCAGGGCTGGTGCTGTGGTGTAGTAGGTTAAGCCTCCATCTGTGGCACTGGCATCCCATATGGGTGCTGGCTACTCCACTTCTGACCCAGCTCCCTGCTAATGGCCTGGGAAAGCAGTGGAAGATGGCCCAGGCGCTTGGGCCCGTGTACCCACATGAGAGACTTGGAAGAAGTTTCTGGTTCTTGGCTTCGGATTGGCCCAGCTCCAGCCAGTTGAGGCAATTTTGGGAGTGAATCAGGAAATGGAAGACCTCAAAAATATCAAGCATTGCAATTTTATAGGGTTCTGTTCAATAGCTCATAAACCTATAAAATGAAATTTTCTTATTACTGCACTCTGTAGGATGATTTTTAAGATTTATTTATTCCGGGGTGTGCTGTGGCGTAGCAGGTAAAGCCACCGCCTGCCAGTGCCGGCATCCCTTGTGGGCACTGGTTCAAGTCCCGGCTGCTCCACTTCAGATCCAGCTCTCTGCTATAGCCTGGGAAAGCAGTAGAAGATGGCCCAAGTCCTTGGGTCCCAGCACCCACATGGGAGACTCAGAAGAAGCTTGTGGCTTCGGATCTACGCAGCTACGGCCGGCCGTTTACAGCCAACTGGGGAGTGCATAACCAGGCATGGAGCCAGGGGCCAGGAACTCCACGAAGGTCTTCCATGTGGGTAGCAGGGACTCTAGTACTGAAGTCATCACCTGCTGCCTCCAGGGTGTTCATTAGTAGGAAGCTGGCATCAGAAGCAGAGCCAGCACTCGAGCCCAGGGACTCATGGGATGCGTGTGTTCAAGGCAGCATCTTGTGGCGCCAAACACCTGTCCTGAAGCATCGTATTGCAATGTTTTCATTTGGATAGATGAAAAGTCAAGACGTGTTACAATACTGCTTGTTGCATAATCCAGTATGTTCTTGACAGCGTCCAGTTTAAGGAGTCCATGATACGAGTCAAATTTTACAACCAACTAGCTTGTGTCTACCTTTCACTGCCAAAGTCATATCAATGACTTTTTTTTTTTTTAATACAGGCAGAGTGCACAGTGAGAGAAAGGTCTTCCTTTGCTGTTGGTTCACCCTCCAATGGCCGCCATGGCCGGCGCGCTGATCCGAAGACAGGAGCCAGGTGCTTCTCCTGGTCTCCCATGGGGTGCAGGGCCCAAGCACTTGGGCCATCCTCCACTGCACTCCTGGGCCACAGCAGAGAGCTGGCCTGGAAGAAGGGCAACCGGGACTAGAACCCGGTGTGCCGGCACGCTAGGCGGAGGATTAGCCTATTGAGCCACGGCGCCGGCCATCATTGACTTATCCTGTATATTCATGTCCTGACCCCATGGCGTGCCAAAGATTTTCCTGGAGGCTGTATTATATCTAGTAGTAGTTATCCATGCAGAAGGCTACCATTAGGTGCCTGCGTTGTCGCATGTCAGGTAAGGCCATCGCCTGCGACACCAACATCCTGTATGGGCACCAGTTCAAGTCCCAGCTGCTCCACTTCTGATCCAGCTCCCTGGATTAGTGCCACAGAAAGCAGCGGAAGATGAGCCAGGTTTTCTTGACCTCAGCTCTGGTCATGGTGGCCATTTTGAGAGTGAATGTGTGTGCGCGCAAGTGCCTCCTCTCTGAAACCCTGCCTTTCAAATAAATATATATATATATATACACACACACACACCAAAGTTAACTGTGTCCCCAACTCCGCGCTCTCGCGAGCACCGCAGCACCACGTTGTTCAGCAGTTCTGACGAGCTTAGACACAGGCCTGCTCCTGGGCTTCAGTGCGACGGAAGGCGCCGAGAGCGGTTTTCACGCAGTGGCCGGCGCTGGGCCTGCGGCGGAGCGGCTGGGTCCCTTAGGGACGCAGGGACGACAGTGGAGCTCGGCTGCGGTCGTTTTCGAGTTCTTGGTAGTTTGGCTATTCAAGCTCGGGAAGTTTTTTCTCAGTTTCATAAAGCAGGTCTACACAAATTAGCTTCCGCCATCCTCGTTAACCAGCGAGGTGGCCCGGTGTCTGAGGAACCCGAGACGCGAAATGGCTTCCGCGGTCGCCGGCTAGTCTGCGGCTCCCGTCCTTCGGTCATCTCGGCTCTGGCCTCCCGACACCACGCTCCAGGGTTCCTCAGGGGAACTCTTCCCCATCGACATTCTCCTCCCGGGCAGAACGCGACTCCAAAACAGAAAAGTCAGGTCGCAGAGAAGACCGAGTCCCGCGGAGCCTCCACATTAGCCGCCAGCATATCGCGGGAGGCCAATTAGGATTTCCGAGGTCCCCAGCGTTTGGCCAACTGGTACAACGCCCAACTGGCCAGGTGCCTGCAGCCGGTGAGAGGACGCCCGCCCAGCCCGGCAACTACCGACGCCGGCGCTTCCCACCCTGCGCCGGGAGGCGGGACCCGCGAACCGCGCGCGGCCCCGCCCTGCGCACGCCGCGGGCCAATCCGCGCCCAGAGGCGTTCCCAGGCCCGCTTCCCTCCTCCGCGCGGCGCTCACGGGCCACAGCGGGCGCCTTGCGACCCGGAAGTGGTTTTCTGAAGGAGGCGGGCAGGCCTGAGGGGGTGGGGCTCGCGGCGTTCACGCCCCGGGCCACGGTGCTCTTTACCCAACTCCGCCGGCTGCGGCGCCGGCCAGGAAAGTTTGTCTAGGTGTGCAGGGAGCCGCACCGATGGCCTCCGTGCTGTCCTATGAAAGCCTGGTCCACGCCGTGGCGGGAGCCGTGGTGAGGCGGGGTCTTCACGCCCGGGGCGCAGCGGGGTGCGGGACTCTGGGGCCTCTCCCGCGTTACGGCTGGGGGATGGGCGCGAGAGGGACATCCTGTGGGTTGGGGTTTGCAGCCTGACTGTGGGATGGAGAGAACTAGGCCGTGGGTGGGAGATTGTCGGAAGGACCGGGGTCGGGCCCGCTCGGCCCCCCGCCCCGGCCACGGCGCCGGGGGGCCGTAGACCGCCGTGAGGGTGCTGGCCCCAGGTCGTCGCGGGGTCCTGGGGGGCCGGCCTCGCGCACCCCGACCCTCGCCGCTTCTCAGAGGAGACCCGGGTTGAAGCAGTGTGCTTACGCATGCTGGATTACCGCCTGGCGTCCCCCGCTTGGTAGTACCTGGTAAGGTAGCGTCTGCTGGCGTGACTGGCACAGGAAACAGGGCTTTGTTTCTTCTTAAATGAAGAGCAGGGTTGCTGCCCACCGCAGGTGCGCTGGGTTCTTGGCCGTGCGGATGCCTCGGTTCCATTTGACACCCCTCACCGTGAAACTTTCTATCCGCTCTTGGCTCGACCGCCCTTCCTCCTGCGCTTGGCTAGCTGACGCTCCACGGAGAGCTCGCGTGTCCTGCGTGCTGCTCCGAGCGGAACCCCGGCTCCGCCCTTGCTGGCTGTTGGCCTGTAAACCTCACTCCTCTACCCACCTCAGAGAATTAAATGACACACTGTGGCATGAACGTGCCTGATTCAGAAGCCCTGGCACCTTCGGTTCAGCCAGCGTAAGGGCACTGCGATGGATAGGCGTGGAGGCCTGCGTGTCTGCATCAGAGGGCTTGAAGAGGCCGACTGGCTTCAGGGACCGGATCGGATGAGACTAACTCGAGTGTGAACTTGGCGATTTATGTGGTCCACATCGTCACCGCAGCTGTTCTGTTGAGAGTAAAAGATAAGGGAGCTAGGGATGTCAGGCCGGAGGTGCTGCTGGCTTGGGACCAGAACGGTAGCGCTGAAGGTATGAGAAGTGATCATTAACCTGGAGTGTATTTATGAGTAGAGGGTTAGGGGGTGGCTGGTTGACCCCAAGACTTTCTGACTTGAGCAGCTGAGGGGATGGCGTTCCCACGTACTCAGATAGCCAAGGCTGTGAAAGAATAGGTTTGGCCAGAGTTTCGTCTTGGTTTTGGACTAGTTCCGTTCAAAAAGCCTAAGGGTAGTCATGAGACAGGATGAGCTCACCAAAGACACGTGTGCGAACTGGAAAAAATCTCGGTGGCTGAGCCTTGGAGCAGCCCAGCATCAGGAGGTGGGGGAGAAGTAAGATGGCACCAGTGAGACCAAGGACCAGTACCGCGTCCAAAAGCCCCATGGAGAAAGTGTCCATGGAGAATGGAGTAAACCAGCTGGCCGGTCACTGTTTCTAGGTCAAGTAAGGTGAAGACTGAGGGTCAGCCACTGGATTTACCGTGTTGGTGAGAAGACGAGTTTTGGTGGAATGATGGGGTGAATTACTATAAAATGGGAAATTCTCTTCCTTCTCATCGTGAATGCTATCCATTCACCACCTTTACTGAGCGCATTCTGTGCGCCACGCATTCTCCTAGGTGCTCGAAGTGTAGTGGAACACCAGGCTTTTTCTTCATGCCAGTGAGGAAGTTGGGCAACATACGAGTAAGCAGAGAAGTAAAAGTATTTATATAACGTTAAAAAATCACAAAGGGTTGGCAAACTTTAAGGGAGTAGACGGTAAATATTTTAGGCTTTGTCTCTGGCCTCATTCATAGCTGCCCATCACGGCTATGGTGGTGTGAAAGTAGCCGTAGATAGTAAGTGAATGAATGACCAGAGCTGGGTTCCAACAAAACCCCATTTACAGAAACAGGCAGTAGATTGGATTTGGCCCAGAGGCTAGTTTTCTGAGCTCTGTTACAGAGAGTGATTCAGAGTAGAGATGGATAAAGGTTGAAAATATATTTCTAGTTAACCAACAAAGATGTTTGGTTTCTTTTCTCCTTGCTACCTTTTTTTTCTCCTGTTAAATTTCACTTGAAATTATGCAGCTTGAATTTGATCCTTTTTTCCTCCCATTAACTATATTAGGTTATCTAATATATGTACATCTATAAGAGTATTTTTTCTCTTCCTCTCAAGAAAGTACTGTCCCTAGCACATACCTGAATGAGAAGTTGCTTTGTGTTTTGTTATAATTTTTTTTTTTTTTTGGACAGGCAGAGTGGACAGTGAGAGAGAGAGACAGAGAGAAAGGTCTTCCTTTGCCGTTGGTTCACCTTCCAATGGCCGCCGCGGCCGGCGCGCTGCGGCCGGCGCACCGCGCTGATCCGATGGCAGGAGCCAGGAGCCAGGTGCTTTTCCTGGTCTCCCATGGGGTGCAGGGCCCAAGCACCTGGGCCATCCTCCACTGCACTCCCTGGCCACAGCAGAGGGCTGGCCTGGAAGAGGGGCAACCGGGACAGAATCCGGCGCCCCGACCGGGACTAGAACCCGGTGTGCCGGCGCCGCTAGGCGGAGGATTAGCCTAGTGAGCCGCGGCGCCGGCCTTGTTATAATTTTAAACTGTCACTCTGAAGAGTGTTTCTCAAGCTTTTTTTTTTTTTTTTTTTTTGCAAACATTTGTGTTAAAGTTAGACTATACCACAGAGGCCCTATTTTCTTCTTGTTGCTACCAACATGAAAAATTTCACCACAAAAAATGTAACAGTTGATGTATGGTTAGTAAGAAAAATAGCATTGCATTTGATGGTATAAAATTCAGGTGATGACTGATGTCTAATAAATGTCCTAAAGCTGATGTTCAGCCAAAGCTTAGAGAGGATCAGGGAGAGTCAGCTTAGCACAGTGATGGAGGATGCCTGAGAGCCTGTCTTGCAGTCTGGACCGGGCCTCTCACTAGCTGTGTGATGTTGATGCCTGGAATGCTAATGATTAATCAGTACCTTTCAGGGGATTTCTTTTTTCTTATTTATATTTTATTTGTGTAATCTATATCTTAATTACATATAATCAAATAAATACTGACTCAAAAAATTCAAAGTCTGTATGCTGGCATCCTGTGTCGGTATGCTAGTTCAAGTCTAGCTACACTGCTTCCCATCCAGCTTTCTGCTAATAGCCCTGGGAGGCAGAGAAGATGACCCGAGTACTTGGGCCTCTGCCACCCGTGCGGAAGACCGGGCTGGAGTTCCTGGCTTCTGGTTTCTGCCTGGCCCAGACCTAGCTGTTACGGCCACTTGGGGAGTGAACCAGTAGGTAGAAGATTTCTGTCTCTCCCTCCCTCTCTTTGTGTCACTCTGTTTTACAAGTAAATTTTTTTTTTTTTTTAATTCAAATGATAGAGTCCTCCTTGATCCTCAGACCTCATCTGTCATTACTTTGTTATCCGGGGCCCAGGTACATCTGTTTTTAACAACTGCATTACCCAGGCTTATGCAGAATCGCTTTTTTCAGATGGTATCAGAAAAGAAAATTAGGCCTGATTCTCTTACTCTGTAGTTCATGCATTTTATGTTACACTGGATTTTTTACCATACAGAAATCAAGTAAAAGGACATGTTCGTTTGCTATTGCAGGCCTTCTGGACATAAAGATCAATAAAAGAGTTTGTTTCCTCAAGAAACTCTTATTAAGTGTAGAGCAGAGTGTGGGCAAGGCCTCTGGTGGCACCAGGAAGAAATGGGGAGCTGTGCCTGTGAAGGTGGTAAGTCCACAGGGCTCGCACGTTGCTACCCGGTATTGAAGGAGAAGTAAGTGCTTCTGAGATAGATTAAATAGGAGGGAGATGGAAGACTTTGGTCCGAATAGAAAGCAGTTCAGCGACCCTGCTGTGTGCGTCAGCCTCCAGGGAACTTCCCACGGGTCAGCATAGCTGATGTGAATTGTGGCATGTCAGTGGAAGCGTGTGAAGCTGCCTATGCAAAGGAGTTTGGGTTAAAGTTGGTCAGATTCAAGGGCGAGCATTAAGACACTGCGTGGGCCTCTGCCACCCACGTGGGAGACCTGGGTTGAGTTTGTGACTCTTGGCATCAGCCTGGCCCAGGCCTGGCCATTGGCAGCCATTTGGGGAGTGAACTAGTAGATGGAAGATGTATCTCTCTCCCTCTCTCTCCCACCACTCCCACTCTCTAACTCTGCCATATAAATAAATAATAAGTATTTATTAAAAGAAGAAGTAGAGCTGGCACCGTGAGATGCGGATGTCTGAAGCGGCGCCTGCCCCATTTACATTGCTTGGAACTCTTCTTGTAGACTATGAATTTGCCATGAGTTGATTGTGGGTTCGGCTTCACTCTGCCACTGTTAGTTCCCTGTGCTGTGCCTAGCTGCCTCCCTTTGAGTGTTCTCCACCGTACTTGTCCCGTTTTGTGCTCCGTGAATGTGGCCTCCCACAACACCATTTTGAAGAAGCTCAGGTAAGCGTCTTCCCTGATGTCATTCACCGAGTCACAGATTAGAGATACAGTCCTGTATTTCCAGATTCAGCTAACTCAAATTCTGATTTGTAAAATGTGATTGTCTCTGAGGGTGATTTGTGTATGTTCACAGAATCAAGCAGCTTTTCTAATATAACACAACTCAGGGCCCCCAGAACTTTGTTCACTACTGTGTTTTCTGATTTTCTGTGCTGCTTATTGCATTAATTTAATATTGAGAGAGAGAGAGAGAGAGATTTTCTATCTGCTGGCTTACTCGCCAGATGGCCACAACAGTCAGCGCTGGGCCAGGTCAAAGCCAAGAGCCAGGAGCTTCATCCGCGTCTCCCACATGGGTGCAGAGACCCAAGCATTATGGCCATCTTCTGCCTTCCCAGGCACATTGCAGGTAGCTGGATTGGAAGTAGTGCAGCTGCAACACAAACTGGCACCCATATGGGATACTGATGTTGCAGGGGACAGCTGCTTTTTTTTTTTTTTTTTAACAGGCAGAGTGGACAGTGAGAGAGAGACAGAGAGAAAGGTCTTCCTTTGTTGTTGGTTCACCCCCCAATGGCCGCTCCGGCTGGTGCACTGTGCTGATCTGAAGCCAGAAGCCAGGTGCTTCTCCTGGTCTCCCATGCGGGTGCAGGGCCCAAGGACCTGGGCCATCCTCCACTGCACTCCCTGGCCACAGCAGAGAGCTGGACTGGAAGAGGGGCAGCCAGGACAGAATCTGGTGCCCCAACTGGGACTAGAACCCGGTGTGCCGGCGCTGCAGGCGGAGGATTAGCCTAGTGAGCCGCGGCGCCGGCCTGCTTTTTTTTTTTTTTTTTTTAAGATTGATTTATTTATTTGAGAGTCAGAGTTATAGACAGAGAGAGAAAGGTCTTCCATGGGCTGGTTCGCTCGCCAGATGGCCACAACAGCCAGAGCTGGGCCAATCCAAACTCAGGAGCCAAGAGCCTCGAACCTCTTCTGGGTCTCCCTGGGTGCAGGAGCCCAAGCACTTGGGCCATCCTCCACTGCCTTCCCACACAGTCAGCAGGGAGCTGGATCAAAAGTGGAGCAGCTGGGACTCACACTGGCGCCCATATGGGATGCTGGAGCCACAGGTGGAAGCTTAACCTGCTACATCACAGCCCTGGCCCTGCAGGCAGCAGCTTTACCTACTGCGCCACAACACTGGCCTCTCCACCGTACTTCTTGAACCATTTTTCCATCCCTTAATGTTAGGCTCTGAATATCCTTGGATTATTGGAAATCAAGTGACATTAAATATTAAGTAGACCCATCATTCAACCAAACTGGAGGCTGCTGGCCACTAATCCTTATCAGGAGGACTTTAAGCAGTTTTAATATTCAGTTCCTTTAAAAAGTTTTCTTTTCCATAGTTGACTCATCCAGAGTTTGAATCTGGTTGTTCAGATTAATGTAGAATTACCTTAATTGGAAAGATGTGTATACATCTCAAGGCGTCATGTTCCTTTGGTCTAGAAACTTGAAGTAGTTAGAAAAAAATCTTTATTGTCTTCCTAGTCATAGATTGCTGAAATTTAAAAAAAAAATCTTTTGCTTCTGGGCCCAG